AACATTTATCACCTGATTTGGATCAATGGACTTTTGTCCCCCATCCGAGGTTGCACCTAATTTCCTTTGCCACCTAATTGAATTCAAATAATATCCTTATGGCCTGAATGAATTCTGCATTCTTGCCACATTTCTTCTGTCTCTCAGCCACATGTCTGGAGTCATTTTACAAACAAATTGCAACTCTTTATTAGTTTTTGTTGTTGTTAGGTGCTGTTAGTTGTTTGCGACTCACAGCGACCCTGTGTACAACAGAAGGAAGCACTGTCCAGTCCTGCACCATTCTCATGATCGTTGCTATTCTTGAGCCCATTGTTGCAGCCGCTGTGACATTCCATGTCTTTGAGGGTCTTCCTCTCTTTCTCTAGCCTTATACTTTACCAACCATGATGTCCTTTTCCAGGGACTGGTCACTCTTGATAACATGTCCAAAATATGTGAGATGAAGTCTCTCCATCCTCACTTCTAAGGGGTATTCTGGCTGTACGTCTTCCAGGACAGATTTGTTTGTTCTTCTGGCAATCCATGGTAGCTTCAGTATTCTTCACCAGCACCATAATTCAAAGGCATCAATTCTTTTCCAGTCTTCCTTATTCATTGTTCAGCTTTCACATGCGTTTATGAGGAGATTGAAAATACCATGGCTTGGATCAGGTACACCTTAGTCCTCAAAGAGACATCTTTGCTTTTTAACCCTCTAAAGAGGTCTTTTGCAGCAAATTTGTTCAATGCATACATCGTTTGATAGTTAGCACACATATATCAAGTGATGAAAAACTAATCAAACTAGTTCTGAGCAAAAGAAGGGAATTTATTAGTTCTCGAAGTTGGGTCTCCCTGGGGATGCTTCTGACTTTAGGTCTTGCTGAACACAGGAGCTCAGGTGATGTCACCAAGATACTCTCAGACAGTTGAGAATGAAGTGGCCACTGGCTGCTCCCAGCTTCATTTGCTTTTGAAAGGTTGGCAGTTTGAACCCACCCAGAGACACCTCGGGAGACAAGCCTGGCAGCCTGCTTCTGAAAGGTCACAGCCTTGCAAACCCTATGGAGCAGTTCTACTCTGCACACGTGGGGTCGCTGTGAGTCAGAATTGACTGGACAGCGACTAACAGTAAGCAGCAAGAGGAGAATCGAAGAGGGGGACATATTCCACCTTTCTTTATTAGAGCAATGTTGCTATCACAGAGCATCTACTAAAACTGGTTTTCCTTTGAGTACATCTTGGGACTTGTTAATCTTGGTAGCTCATGACCATTTATACCCTGAATTTTGGTGAAAGGGTGAGTTGGAACTCATAATCATTTTGTCTAGATAGATTTGCCAATGTCCCAAAAGACCCATAAGTGAAGGAGACATGGCTGATTTTCCAAGTATGGGGGCAGCTTTTGACACACAGACAGCTCTGGGGGACACTGAGACAGCTCTTGCTCAGCTTGAGTTTTATCAATCTCACTGCCCCTTAATCTTCTTTGTTAGTTTTTACCACTTCTGCCCTTCAGAGGGTTAGATCACTGTGGCTTCCCCCTTTCTGGTCTGGCTTTATTACAAGGTTGTACTGTAAACTCATAGTAAGCCTCATGATGCTCTGGGCAGTGATGGAGGAAGAATTTTGCGCACACTAGTGCCACGGGCCCTTCTGGACTAATATCCTGGTGCTGAAAAGCCAACAAGGGAAGAACGGGTACTATTTCAAAGTTAAAAAACCTGGGGCTTAGATTCATGGGCATCTGTTACTAACTTTCCTTTTTCCTCCCCACCAGCCTCACTCTTTCCTGTCAGTCCCCTTTCTTCTTCCTTGGATTATAAGAAATTTTAGATACATTAAATTCTTAGCCCCAAAGAACAGATGCCATTAAAGGACACATGGAATTTTCTTTTAACTATGAGAACAAATTTGAGTCCTTTTACATCTGTTATGCCATGATTTCCCCAGCAGAGCCTTATATGGTTGCTAGCCTAGGTATTATCATCTACATGTTACCCATAAGGAAACTGAGGCACAGAAGTTTTTACTTGTCAGAGAATCAAGTAGGCGAGGGAGCTGGGACTAGACTCCACTGCTGGCGGTGAGTTTGCATCAGAAACTGGGTGGCTTTCCTGCCTCTCCTCACCTGAGTTCACCCACTCAGGAGGTGTTAGTGAGCACACCCTGGGCCTGGAGACATTGTTGCGGCATCACCTGAAGGGAGTGTGGTGGGAAGAGGTGGGCCTTGGGGTCAGGTATCCTTGAACTTCCAGTTCTCCCATGCCTTTGCAGAGTGACGTTGGACAACACTTCTCATGTCCTCGGTTCCCTCATTATGAAAGAAGGATAATAGCAATCTGTGGGAGTGAATGTGAGCATTGGCGATAATGCGTGCGCACGTTGAGTAGTTGGCATGTAGTAGTAAGTGCTCAGCTGTGACCATTGTTGTGAGAGGCGGCTTGAAATAGACTAGAAGGAGCATGTGGTTTGAAATGAACAGTTCTGCATTGTAAACCCAATTCCAATTCGACTGAATGACATTGGTCAAAGTACTTATTCTTTCAGCCTTAATTTCTCCATCTGTAAAATGGGGAGGATAATACCTACCTTGCAGGGATGATGTGAGGAATGGAGATAATAAAATATTTAAAGTACCTGCAACATTGCCTGACTCAAAGTATTTAATCTTTATCAAAAAGTGGGTCCCTACATGTATTTGGAAGGTAGAACAGAGCTTTATACAGGAAATAACTATAAAACTGTATAAGCATATATAGAAGGGAATACAAATATATAAGGCTGCATAGAAATTCAGAGTAGGGGAAGCATAGGGTGGGCTGGAGTATTTGGAGAAGGCTTTAAAGGAGACTTTGGAGCAGGATGAGGGGCTGGACAAAAGCGGTAGAATCACATGAGCGAAGTTTGCTAAGGTCACGGAGCCGAGGGACCCTCTGAATCTTGTGAATTCACCCGCAGTAAGCCTCTTTGAACCCTCCCTATTCCTACCTTTATCCTCCTTTACTTAGGAACCACCGTCACACATTTCCACTGCATTTGTGTGGGACCCTCCAGGTTTGGCTTTAGGAAGCCAAATAGGAGTGTTGAAGGCAAAGATGATGAAAACTTGTTTTCAGTAAGCCTTTGTCTTCCTGCCCAGTCAGCAGGGCTCAGGATATTAGGGGCAGGCATCTTATAAGCTGGTGGAATGAATGAGAGGCTGTTTTGGTTGGGATGGGGGGTGGTGGGTGTCTTTGGGCTTTCAAAATCTCAGCAGCCTGGCATTTCTTAGACCTTTCAGTGAGACATCCTGTGGAGGCTTGAGTGGTAGAGTAACATGATTAAGCCCACGCTTTGGTATCAGGCTGACCTGGGTGTAGATACTGGCCCTGCCACTGCTGGCTGTGTGACGTTCAACTGGGTGCCTGGTCCTCCAAGCCTCTGCTTCTTCGTGGGAAGGTGGGCAAAGCCATCTTCTGCTGTGTACTGATGATTGACATAATGGAAAGCGGTCCAGCATCACGGGAAAGAGGATGACTCTGAGTCAGACTGCCTGCATCCAGATCCTGCCTCTGCCTTTTACCAGCTGCCTGATCTTGTGAAGGGCATCTTACCTCTCTGAGCCTCAGTTTCTCCACCTGTGCAATAGAAAAACTTGAACAAACTAGAGCAGTGTAAACGTTCATGTTGGAAACTTACCTTATATCCTACTGTACTTCCCACTCTCATGAATTTAAATCAGCAAGTATTTATTGAATACCTGCTATGTGTCTGCCACCCCACAAACAAACGAGGCGATGTAAGAGGATGCAGAGTGAAAAGAGGCTGTGGGTATTGGGGTGGGTGGGTGTCACCCACCAGGGAAGGCCTTTCTGAGGAGGTGACACCTTATCTGAGATCTGATAGATGAGGAGGAGGCAGGAACAACAAATGCAAAGCCCGGAAGACAAGAAAGATCTTGGCTTAGAAGGAACAGAAGGCCCGTGCGACCAGAGCCCAGTGAGCAGTGAAGCGAGGGTACAGGACAGAACTGGAGAGGGAGGCCAACCAGAAGGACTTGTGGGTTAGTGTAAGGAGTTTGGATTTTAAGTACCTGAGAAGCCTTGAAGGTTATTAATAGCAGGAGAGTGACATGATCTGATTTATGTTTGAGAAAGATCATTCTGGCTGCAGTGCCAGAATGGATTGTCAGGGAGCAGAAATGGAGCAGGAGACCCCTGGCCTATTTGCAGTAACCCAGGCACAGTGGATAGCTACTGGAACTGGAACAGGGCAGTAAAGGCAGAGGGAGATGCACATTTAGGTATATTTTGCAAGTAGAGGTGATAGGAGCAGGCAGTGGATTAAATGGGGTGGTAGCAAGAGGTAGGTGAGAGACAGCAGGTAGGTGAGAGACAGCAGGAACAAGAGAAGACTCAAGAGTCAGTGCTAGGAGATTTGCCTTGAGCAGTGGTGGGGGGAGTGAGGGGGTGTGATCTCAATGGGTTTGAGGGTTACAAAAGGAAGAACTCTATTTTAGATAGACCCTGAGATGTTAATAGAGTGGACAGGTTTCTGCTGACATCTGCAGCTTTCCTTCCCCTGGCATTGCATTCCAGGAATGGTGTTCAGAGAGTTCATACAGCAGCTCTTCTTCCCATTCTGACCCCCAGGGCCCTGCTTTTGAATCTTTCTCTGGATCACTTCCACCTCTAGGCTCAGAAACCACTGCTAGTCTGCAGCCAAGCCTGGGAAGTAGCAATGGACTTTTATAAAGTTCCTGAGATGAAGTTGAGGATGAGGGGGGAAATGGGTCATGTCATTAGCCACCTCTGTTTGCTCAGAGACGGCAGGTAACAGCCGCTTTACCCAGCTGCTGATCCCAAACAACAAAAATGGATGGTACCCTGGAAGATGATTCACATCGTAGGCCAAAGAGCTTTGTCTGGGGTTTTATGAGACAGGGGCTTTAGGGGACAGTGCACATTTGTCTGCGTTGTCAGCCTGAGCTGGAGTAGTGTGCGGTTTTGGTGCTCAGAATGTGTTTGTCTTGGCAGCTGGGATGACAGCAGCTCCGTCAGCAGTGGAATCAGTGACACCATAGACAACCTCAGCACTGATGACATCAACACCAGCTCCTCCATCAGTTCCTATGCCAACACACCTGCCTCGTCTCGCAAAAACTTGGATGTGCAGGTAAGGAACATGGGACCCTCCCAGCCGGAGCCTTGGGCTTGTGGGGCGAGAGTGGCATTTGGGGTGAGCAGAATCCCCATGTTAATGAGACGAGGCCCAACTTCTGCTGTCTGTGCTTACAACTCCCGGACTCTGGCCTCTACCCCCAAGGAAAGCAGGCAGGCAGTGGGTTGGTGGAAATGGGAGTTGGGAGGTCTCGCCGCTCACTGCTGTGGCCTTGGAAATGGGCCTCAGTTTTGTAATCTGTTTGTTTAAAAGGGGAGTATTGGGCTCAATGGGCCGTTTTTAGCCTGAGAGTATGTCTCCTCCTTGCTGCACTGAGAATCTTGGCCACAGCCACTGCTGTCCACGGGAGTGAGAGTGATGGGGTGGGAACAAAGGTTGAGAACCCTGGGCTGGATGACCAGAGGCTGGGAGCTGCTAGTCTATGGGTCCCATCCCCCTGCCGGTGTGTTTTATTTGGCCCACTGTATTACTCTTCTTGTAAACTGAATTCCTTCTCAAAATTTAAAAATGGCATTATTTCACAAGAAAATGTTTTTCTGGTTTCTCTTGAAAATTAGAAGATCTTGCTTCCTTGAGCCAACATTCACACAGCAACAATTAGCTGACGTCAAAGTACCTGCACCCTTTCGACGGGCCATACACACCCCAGTGTGCCACAGCCGCTACCTAGCCAGCTGCACTCTTTAAAATACCTGACCCTGGGGGGCTTGAGTTTTCAATCCCTGCTTTAAACTCTCAGATTTGATGATTCGAATACAGTGTTACCTGATATTTACTGATGTTTCACGTGTTTCGAGTTTCATGTGGGCATGTTTGCTTGCCCTCACGGTATTCCTTGGTGGTTGGAAGGGGTTGGTTTTAGAAGCCCATTTTACTAGTAGGAAAGTAAGGTGCCATCCTCACTACAAGGAGCCCTGGTGGCACAATGGTTAAGCGCTCGGCTGCAAACCAGAAGGTTGGTGGTTCAAACCCTCGCGGTGGCATCATGAGAGGAAGACCTGGAGATCCGCCCGTGTAAAGATTACAGCCTAAAAAACCCTATGGGGCAGTTCTCCTTTGTCACATGGGGTCACTATGAGTTGAAATCACCTCAGCCTCACCTAACAACAACAACATCCTCACTACTAGTCCCCAGCTTGTGACTGACTGGCCCATTTCCCTCACTAAAGCAAGAGCACTGGTCAGCCAAGGTGTCAGGTGGCGCTGGCCTATGTGGGCTAGAATCTTTTTCATGATTAGTCCCTCCCACCAACGGGGGCACTGAGTAGGACAGCCTCCCAGAGGAACCTCAGGGAGGGCAGAGCTATGTAACACTGCCCCTTACCTGCACCCTCTTCCTTCCGTATCTTCTTCCTTCCCCAGCTATCTTTCACTCTGTACAAATAGAAGCTGCTTTGGAAATCTCTTTACTTCTAAAGATATTCTTTTCTTCGAGGATAGGACTAAATAAAGGATGTGTCAGAGTGTGGGAGTAATTCTGTCCCATGGAAATTTGAACATTGACTGCCTGATGAAATATATTAGGTGTCACTGCTGGGATTGCCTGTTACTTCTTGAGTTTTCATTTTTGCCAGAATTTCTAATTATTGGTGGGGGTGAGGGTGGGGTGTGGTGGTGGTTCAAAAAAAAAATTTGAGCAAGTGACTGGAAAGGGGCATGGAGCTTTGAGGATCTGGTAATGTTCTATATCTTTATATGAGTGGTAGTTATGTGGGTATGTTAATTTTATAAAATGTATTCAAGCTGTATACTTCAGATTTATGTACTTTATTATATGAATGTTATACCTCAATAAAAAGGTTTATAAAAAGAAAAGAAAAGAAAAAAAAAAAAAAAGAAAAACCAAGCCACACTGCCCAAGCAGTGTTTAATCAGTGATTAGACAGTTGGAAACCCTCAACCAGGCTAGTGGGCCCCTAATACCTACCATCTGTCAAATGTCACAATATCCCCCAATTGTCTTTTCCTTATGGACACTGTAATTATTTTTCTGAGACTCACTGTAATTTCAGGGAAACAGTAAAACCAAGCTTCCAGACCGTCCTTAGATACTGAGGTGAGGACCAGGGAATTAACCACCTGGACCTCTGTATTCAGGAGACAGGCAGGTATTGGAGGACTACAGAGAGAGAGAGAGACTGAATGTTCAGTGAACTGGTGAGGTTTCTCTTTTATTGACAAGGTAGTATCAGGCTTGGAAGCCCTGGTGGCATAGTGGTTCAGAGGTTGGCTGCTAACCGAAAGGTCAGCAGTTCGAATCGACCAGGCGCTCCTTGGAAACCCTATGGGGCAGTTCTACTCTGTCCTGTAGGGTCACTATGAATCGGAGTCAACTCGACCGCAGCCGGTTTGGTTTTTGTGTCTTCGTTCCCTTCCCTTTCCACAAAGCCAGAGTGGGACTCTCTGTTCCATATTGATACACAGTTAGGATTTACAAATGATTTCCTATTTGATGTACTTGAATTAGGTTAATGCCAAGGCCCCGTTCCTCTTTGATTAGCTCTTTGCTTTCATCTTACAAATGATGTCACAAACCTGCCTTTTGATCAAGATCAGAATTTCAGGGGAGGTGAAGGGTTTAATATTCATTAGGTTGTTTTTCCTAAAAAACCAACTGAGTTTAAAATATTAAAATTAAATACTAAGAAAGTAGATTGTGAAACAAATAAATGCAGACTTGGGCCAATAGTAACGAAGATTTTGCTCAGGATGATTTCCTTAAATGGATTTTTAGTGATATCCTTTTGTTCCTGTCCAGAGTGCATCTCAAAATATTTGAATCAGCATAGTTTGCAGCCTCCCGCCGTCCCTCCCCCATATCACTCGGAGGCATGCTAAGGGCCATTACTCCTCTCTGAGCCACATTAGGCGACAGGAAGATGTGCACTGCCATCCTTTCCCAAGAGCTGCTCCTTCTGTGCTCGGCTCATTCGAGTTCCTGTCACAGACTGGTTTATGCTGGACGAATGGGCAGCAAACACTCTCCCAGGCAAGGCATGGAGAGGCAGGAAAAGGTGGCTCAGCGTGTCCATTGGGAGGGCAGGCTGAAGACAGGTTGCCTGCCTAGGTTTTCATATTTGAGAAATCTCTAAGGAACAACTTAAGTACACTTAAGGAACAAGGAAGTCATTGTCTGGAAAACCTAAGGAATAGCCTCATTTAACTGACAAAGAGGAAGAGGAGGAAACTGGGGGGAGCGATCCTTTGAGATGGCAGTCCCCTTTGTGTGTGAGTGATTCTTTTTTCCTCAAGGACATTGGGGAGCACTGAGGGTGCCCTCAACAGGGCAGGGGACATGTATCGGATACCCAGCCGTGGGCCTCTGTGCTCACTCCAGTCCTCAGCGTGCTGGGGAAAGAACCCCCTGCTTGAGGTCTGAGAGCCTTTCGACCAACTGTCTCCAGAAGAGCTAGTGAGTGTGGAGAAGGTATGGACTTTGAAGTCAGGGCGTCTTGGATTGAGCTTCTCACTCTACCACATCTTTGGATAAGCTGATCAACCTCTCTGAGCCTTTGTCTCCTTATCTGTAAAACAGGGGTAATTAGACCTATCTTGAAGGGTGAGTGTGAGAGTGAACATGTTTTTCTCAGTGCCTGATACTTGGTGGTTGCTCAGAAGTTACCTTCTTTCTTTTTTAATTTCCTTTGGATTACCTGTCTCTCTGCTTCCCTTCTCCATTCATGTTGGTAACCGAAAGTTGAGTGCATTTGTGACCTATCTTATTTGCATTTTCAAAGCAGTTGATCTAATATTTTGCAACATTTTATGTTTAGGACAATGTGTTGGTGGCAGAGGGCTTTAAAAAACACACATCTCTCTCCCGTGTATTTATCTATGCGTTTGTGTCCCTGGCGGTTCAGTATTTCTCTCTGTTCTGTGGAAGATTCTATTCTGGGTGCTAAGGTATAAAGAAGCATCTGTCAAGATTCATTTAATTTTCACTGCCCATAAAATTCTTAATAAAATATACAGGGGAAAAAGATAATACCGTATCAGTTTATTTCTTGCTACTGAAGTAAATAAAATCCTGAATTCTGTGGGAAACATCCTTGCCTTTTGTGGCCCTGAGCGAGCCTGGGGTTGTCAGGGTTTCTTTGCCAGTGCTGCCTCTGGATGTTGGTGTGGGTGCAGGGATAGGGTTTTGCTGTAGCTGGAGAGGGGCACCCCTTCTGCCTCCCATTGTGTTCTGCCTCTGACTTAGGGCAAGTTACTTTTCCTCTTTAGACCTGCATTTTACAGTTCTATAAAATATAGATAATAATACAACTTCAGAGAATCAGATGAGCAAATGGTATATGTAAAGAGACTTTGCACAGGACCTGGCAAGATAAGTGGCAGGTGGTGGGATGATGCTGACAATGTTGTTAACTATTTCTGTTATTACTGGTGCTCAAACTTCAGTCAGTTCAGCTTCCTGATTTGCAGGGGATATGGGCATGAGGAAGGCAGTTCCCCTGTCTTCTGGAGGCTTGTGACCCAGCAGTGGGAAAGACAGGTTCACCTTAATGCAAGACAAAAACGGGATAACTACTAAAGGAGGAGGACAACAGAATGCTGGGGATTTCCTGAGGTGGTGATGATCTTGATAGTGATAATGAGTTGATGTTGATGTTGGTGGTGATAAGGGCCACTGTTTATTGAGTCCCTCTGTGTTTAGCTCACTGAGTCTACCATCAAGCTTTTAAGAGACCTATCTGTTACCATCCCATTTTATACACCAGGTAATGATCTCAGAGAAGTTAAGCAAGTTCCTCCAGGGTCACACACAGCAAATGGGTGGCCAAGCCCAGTACTTGAACTTCAGTTGGTTGGAATTCAAAGCCTATGCTCTTTTCCACACTTCATGCCAAGCTTCCCTCCCTTCACTCATCAGGCTCCACTGTGGTTCCACCCTCTCACTCTCAGAAGATGGAACCCTCTGTGGTAAACACTCCAATCATCCAGGCCTTCTGCCAGCTTATATATGGATTATTTCCCCACCTTCCCTCTCGGTTGATTAAGTGGACTTCCAAGTAGGGGCAATAAAGAAAGCCTTCAAAAAGGAGGTGGAAACAACTGGCAAATATACAGGGCAAAGGGAAGCTCCAACCCTTTATGCATCCCTGTGTGGATTTCCCGCTGTCCCTTCTATTGTTAGCTCTGGGATTATTTACTTTTTAATCCTCAGTGGTGCCACCACATGGCCTGGCATGTAACTCAGTAAGGGTTTGCTAAGTAAATGTGAACTCAAAGCCAATAACTGTCCGAGGGCAAATGCCCAGCTCTTCAGAGTAGAGCTGGGAAGGCTACTGCCCTGGTCCAAGTTGTGGGGGTTGGATGATTGTTCTTTCTAGAGGCAGAGATTCAGGACATGGTCCTGGGTTAGGCACAGGTGCTCTCTCTTCCTTTACCTTTGGTGAATCGGCGTTCTGGAGGAGGCTGGGATGGAGCCTGGCACCCAACAGATGGGTTCCCCAGGGTTGAGGTCAAGGAGCAACCAGGCCAGCCAGTCAGTATGGAGAGAGAATCCATTGGGTGTATTGTGTTAGGTGCTTCTGGGGATGCAGAAATATCTCATCCTCAGGGAAGGCAGCGTGGCATACTGATTAAAACATGGGCTCTGCAGCTAGACTTCCTAGGTTGGAATCCCTGCATCTCTACTTCTTTGCTTGGTGATCTTGGGCAATTTTCTTTTCTACTCTGCACCTCATATAAGATAGAAAATAATACTGTAACTTCCTCATAGGTTTTTTGGTAAGGATTAAATTAAACTTTAGCACAATGCCTGGCACATAGTAAGTGCTCAGTAAATTTTAGTTGTTACTGCTATAACTACCACTACAGTTTAGTTTGGGGAAATAAGATATAGTCATAATAAAAGAATAAAAAATGCAATGACTCAGGATGTGGTATGTGCTAAATTTAATTTTTCCAGTACCTCTTAGAGTGTATTAGAATGTACTTGAATGTAAGCTCTGTGAGGGTAATGATTTGTATTTGGTTTTGTTCATTGTGGTATTTCCAGTGTCAATAACCTTGTTTGGCATATAGTGCCACCCAGCAAGTGCTTGTTGAATGAATGAATGAATGTTTTCAAAGGCAAGCTCTCTCTTGCCTCAGGGTCTTTGTACATGCTATTCCCTAAACTCTTAGTAAGTTTTTTTCTTCTTCATTCTTTAGGGAATTTTTTCAAAAAGGCTTTACCTTTTTACCCTTATCATCATTGTATAAATTAAGTCCATGCCTGTATTTCTTAGACTCCTTGTTCTTTTCCTTATAACATTCTTCATAATTCATGCTTACACGTTTATTTGTATTCATTTAGCCAATCTCTGCTTGCTTCATCGAATCATAAACCCCATGAGAGGTTGAAGTCAGTCTTGCCCACAGATTCTCAGATTCTCCATGGTGCCTGGCAAACAGCAGTGGGCATTAAATAAATTCTGGTTGAATGAATATACTGAAAGCATTTAGTGGAAGGAAAGATTCCTGTGGGCTGAGGTAATTGAGGCAGTAAATGGGTAACTTTAAATTTTTCATCTGTAAAATGGAGGTAAAGACATTACTACTTACCTACTTACCCTCCTTGACCAGCTAGTGGCTGGGATCAGATATGATTTTGTTAGAGTGTGTGTTAGCTTGAAAAGTACGATGTTTCTTTGTTCATTCATTTACTCATCGCACATGGGGTCACCACGAGTCAGAATGACGGGCAGCTGGTTTTACTCGTCAAGCCTTGATTAAGCTCCTGCTCTGTGCCAGATGTGGGGAAACCCACCTCTGTGTCCTTTGCCACAACAGAATAATGTGCTTCTCACCGTCAGCGGGTGTGTTTGTGTTCTCCTCATGTCTCCAGTGTCTAGGAAATGGTCGGCACTCAGTTTGTGTTTGGGAATGGCTGAGCAAATGAAGGTGCACATAAGGTGGCTGCAGTGGATGAGTGGCCTTCTAAGGCGTGAAGGGGTGGGGAGAGGGAGTGGGGCCATGATAGTGATGGAGAGGCAGTTGAACCTGGGCTACTTGTCTATATTTAGCTTTGGTTCCATTCAGCCCGTGTATTCAGTGGAGGAAGGAATCCATACCACTCTCTAATTTTTGCCACGTTTTCATTTTCATTTCCCACCTTGCTGATGTCATCTGCTCTTGGTAGTTAAGTGTAGCAAATATGGGACTTATTCCTGAAAACAAAAAACTGGAAAGTGTTGCAGACCTCCCTTCCCCATGCAGCTACTTCTCCCTCCTGGTATTCCTGTTGGAGGTAGCCCCCCAAAGCATTCTGGTTAGCTTGATGCCTTTTAACTACATCAGATTATTAACATCACACTCTGTCCCCTCCTGGGTTCCATGGCCAGCAGGTCAAGGCTCTTCCAAAGAGAGCTGGCTAATTATATCCTTGTCTGAATAAAATCACACAAGGGGAGCAAAGCAGTGGCGTATAAATGAGGCTGGGATGGGAGCAGGCACCCGTTGGCTTTTAGCATTTGGGGAAGTGGCATTTGAGATTTCTTCCCTCTCAGCTCCTGTCTCTCCCTGATCTGAGTGAAACTAGCAGGCGCCCTCGCTTGCTTGCTCGGTATGTGAGGCTGTGGCGCTGTGCTGGATCCAAAGATTTCACTGCCAGTGGAGTGATAGGAAGACGGCAGAACAAAGGGAAACGGGCTGGGAGGCTGAATGCTGGTGAGAGACCCAGCCACCGGAGTTGCTGGAGGCTGCTCTCCAAGCGGCAAAGAGTTGATGGCTGAATTCCACCCCATCTGTGTCCGCTCTGCTGCTTCTCCTCTGTAGGGCTCTTTCCCTCTTTTTCGCTGGCCCCTTTTACTCTGCTCCCTCATCTTCCTTCTAGGACACATTTTTATTGTTTACTTTCCTTGGACCAAGAACATCAGACTTTATAGTAAGGTAATCAGGGTACAAAGACCCAAACATTGTAAAAGTAGATATTCTTTTTCCCTTAACCAGTCCAGCGTGTTGGCATTATTACCTCTGGAGTGAGGGGCTTCCTAGCGTGAGATTCAGGGAGGACTAATTCAGGGAGTCTCTGTCCACAGACTGACGCTGAGAAGCACTCACAGGTGGGGAGGAACTCCCTGTGGTCTGGTGATGATATCAAGAAATCAGACGGAGGGTCAGACAGCGGCATAAAGATGGAGCCAGGTTCAAAGTGGAGGCGGAATCCCTCTGACGTGTCTGACGAGTCCGACAAAAGCACGTCAGGCAGGAAGAACCCCGTCATCTCCCAGACAGGCTCGTGGCGGCGAGGCATGACGGCTCAGGTGGGCATCACCATGCCAAGGACAAAGCCGGCTGCCCCAGCAGGCACACTGAAGACCCCAGGAACTGGTAAGTAGGAAGAAGGTGCATTCACAGTTGTCAGTTTGAAAACCAAAACCATAGTAACTCTAGTAAGGACTTGACAATATATTTTTAAGTCTCCATAACTGCCCAGCTATATTTTTATAGGGCTTAGAATCTGTTAATAATTAGCTTTCATAAAGGTTCGTATCCGTACCTTTTTCCTGTTGGAAATATGTAAACCTGTGAGCCTCTTAAGCTCCAAAGATGGCTCAACTATTGAGACGTATTGAACTGGTTTAGCTATGTACCCAGTGCAGGCTGTTTAAGGGAATGTGTTTGCCAGCTGTTGGTATGTTAAGTTGATGTTGTCCATGATTTGGGAATGTGTGTAAACAAAGGCAGTGTTTTTGCAAGAAGTTAGGGGTGCCCCCTGGAAATGTTAGGGACAGCCTTTTAGTGGACAGAGTGGGAGAAGGTTGGTGAAAGGCAGCACCTCTTCCCAGACAGCCCAGTGGTTATCTGGCTTTGCTTTATCCTTGATGAATTTCACCTGCTTTGCAAATGCGTAAAATCACTGCCATCTCCTAAAAGGCTCACAGTGACAGTAGCAGATAAGATTATCTTTATAAAAAGCTCTTTCCTCTGTCCCCCAAGGGAACTGCTTTCCCCAAGGAAAAAGTGAACCAATTCTTCAGAGAAGAGGAGCATCTTAAACAGATGAGCTGAATGAGCTGGGTTCTTGTTTGTGGGCTAACGTTGCTGATTTATCTCTTAGGAAAAACAGATGATGCAAAGGTGTCTGAGAAAGGAAGGCTTTCTCCCAAAGCTTCGCAGGTGAAGCGTTCCCCATCAGACGCAGGCCGCAGCAGTGGTGACGAATCCAAAAAGCCCCTGCCCAGCAGCTGCAGGACGCCCACTGCCAATGCCAACAGCTTTGGGTTCAAGAAGCAGAGCGGCTCAGCCGCCGGTCTGGCCATGATCACAGCCAGCGGGGCGACTGTTACTAGCAGGTCAGCCACGCTGGGCAAGATCCCAAAGTCATCTGCACTAGTGGGTCGGTCTACTGCTCGGAAGACGAGCATGGATGGGACTCAGAATCAGGATGATGGGTACCTGTCTCTTAGCTCTCGAACAAACTTGCAGTACCGAAGTTTGCCACGGCCCAGTAAGTCCAACAGCCGGAATGGAGCTGGGAACAGGTCTAGTACCAGCAGCATAGATTCCAACATCAGCAGCAAGTCGGCAGGCCTTCCGGTGCCCAAGCTGAGGGAGCCTTCCAAAACGACCCTGGGCAGCTCTCTGCCAGGTCTGGTCAACCAGACGGATAAGGAGAAAGGCATCTCGTCGGACAATGAGAGTGTGGCTTCCTGTAACTCAGTGAAAGTGAACCCGGCGGCCCAGCCTGTGTCCAGTGTGGCTCAGGCCACTCTTCAGCCTGGGACTAAGTACCCAGATGTGGCCTCTCCCACACTCCGCAGGTAAGTGGGTACCTGGTACTGAGCAGAACTGGAATAAATTAAATGGCATCCTGGATTATTAATTTCCTGTTTCTTGGTTAAAGCAGCCTCTGTTTTTCTCTACTTCATTCTTCAGCCAGCAATTTTGCAGTTGACTGATGATTTTCTCATATTGGGATTAGAAACATAAGCTTCTAGAATCAGTCATCTTTGGGTTCAAATCCTGGGTCTATCCTAATTAACCCTGTAAACTTACTTAACAAGTGTGCCTCAGTTTCCTCATCTGTACAGTGGAGATGATAATAATGACCTCATAGGGTTGTTGTGAAAATTAATCTATGTAACTCTGTCTGGCCCACAGGAAGCACTCAGTGAAAGTTAGCTTCCATGTGAGATGAGGTCTTGATCCTCCATTAGATCTGGGTGGGTAGTAGCTCAGGGACAGCGGACCTTTTTTTTTTCTTGGTAATTTCATGGCTGAGTTTCCATATCATTATGTCAGGCAATGATCTTGCCCAGATCCTTTTCTCCAATAGCTCAATATCACAACATAGTTTTTTAGAATGCATGCATAATTTCAACTTAGTCTCTGAAATTTTAACTCCCTTAAAAACAAAATAAAATAAAACTCTTAGAAAGATTCTGAACAGGAGAAATTGATTTTGTATTGCCTTAAAAAGGCATCATTCCTCCCCCCGCCCCCACCACATTTCCACACTGGGTGAAAATTTCTATGTGAGAATATTGTCATTCACTGGGTTTTTAATGATTTCTGGTTAAACTTTTGCTAGTTCACATTACCTCATTTTAATATCCACTGGACCATCCTCCAACTATAACTGTATGGGTTAGAGCTCACCCCGCCGTCCCCAGAAAATTTGTCACAAGAAACAGTAAGTCCCAAAGATAGAAAATTAAGCAGTGAACAAAGTAAAAATTATGTGCACATGAACATATTTGGGGATGACTAGGAATGTTTTTGAAAAGACTTCAGAAGAAGCATTCCACATGAAAAGTATAATAAAGCAGTTCACTGTTCTTTGTCTAGACTTGATTATTAGAATTTCAGTAATGATTATTTTTTCAGGGGGAGATCCTATTGGGCTGCTCTTTGTTTTTTTTTTTTTTTAATTTTTTTAAATTTTCTTTTGCTCTTTGTTGTTTTAACAGATTGCCTTGTAAATGAAGATTTTCTTTGCTCCTCGCCTCAAGTATTATATATAATATTCATTCTTTGGTATTATGGATTTCCTTTAGTAACTACAAAGGCATTTTACTAGACCCTTAGGCTAGTGTAATAGAATTCTTGAAAATGCATGCAGCTTCTTAGGCTCAATGTTTAGCACCTTTCAGCCAATTCCTGGTAAATTACATTTTTTTCCTAAATTGTTAAAATGTTCTCAGTTCTGATGTGCATTAATCTGGAAAAGAGAAGTAGTAGGTGAAGGGTGATAACTCTTTTCGAATGATTTGAAGGACTAACAGACAAACGATTGAGCTTTTTCTGTGTAGTTCATGGAGCAGGATTAGGAGTGATGCGTAAAAGGCAGAAGGAGATGGATTAGATTTTACTTTTCTAACCATTGGAAGTGCTCAGCAGTGGAGCAGGTTATTCTTTGGAGTACTGATGGAGTAAATACTCCCATCCCTGGAAGTATTGAAGCATTCGAAACCCAAGATTCTGTGAGAGGCTATTTCCTTCCCTGGTTTTCAGCAGGCAAAAAGTGTTTCTGTTTTGTCACTAGACATTGTAGTGAGGATTATTTGTTCACATAATAATTGAGGCTTGTTGGACTGTTTGGTGAGGACAGAGATCAAGCTCACACCACTGAGAGAAGCTGGGTAAAAGGCAAGCTCCCTATTAATGATAAGTACAAGCAGTCACTGGGTTACAAAGGTCCACAAAACCTGTAGTTACAAACCAACCCCATAAAGCTTATTATATTAAAAAATTGAGGTACATAAAATGGTTTGTAATAACAAAATGGCACTACTTTGCAATGCACATCAAAACATTATTATTATTACTGTATTATTATGTTAAAGATGTTTTGGTGTATCTAGAAGTGTTTCTTTAATGATTTTTTATGCATAGAAAGGTACACTATATACTCCATGCTAAGACAAACATAGAAGCCTTGGTTGCATAGTGGTTAAGAGCTACAGCTGCTAACCAAAAGGTTGGCAGTTCGACTCAACCAGGCGCTCCTTGGAAACCCTATGGGGCAGTTCTACTCTGTCCTTTAGGGTCGCTATGAGTTGGAGTTGACTTGATGACAACAGTTTTTTTTTTTTTTAAGACAAACATTTGACTAACTGATGTTAAATACAAACCATACCTAACTGTTCTGACTTACGTACAAATTCAACTTAAAGACAGACTTAGGAACGGAACTCCTTCATAATCTAGGGACTGTCTGTAGTAGCCTGATTACTTTTCAGAGATACCTATTCCATGTGGTCTTTAATGGGTTGAGAATAAAGCCTTTGCGTTATATAAACCCCTTCTGACCTTAAGACAATCCTGTCATTCTACCAGAGAGCCCCTCCCAACAGAAGAGGGAGGTGTTTATGCCATTCCCTATTTCTCTGTATTCTGATGATACATTTTGGGGTATGAGCAGTGGAGCAGTGACATGAAGTGGCATCTCTGTGTGTCTGTCACAGAGAGACACTTCACACCCACCGTGTCTGGTTTAACGTCTTGTGAACCCAGCAAGGTTTTTGTATATATCACTGGATAGTACAAGCTCTCTGTCCCTAAAAGACAAATCTTTCAGGCCGGGCTTTCAAGTAAGGATAAATCTGTAGAGTTACTTTTCCCAGGCCCCATCCAGATCTAGACTGCTGTTCTTGATTCTATGTGTTGTGCTTAGAGATCAAAGAAACAAAATCCCTTTGAGTTGAGCCCTCATAAATTGAGTGCCTGCTTTGTGTCCGGGGTCATGGATACAAAGATGATTAAGACAACTCTTTGTCCTCTAGATGTTCTCAGGGCCAGGGTGGTTTTATAGTCTAATTACAGAAAGTAAGGGAAGCAAGATCTTGGCTAGGTCTACAGAAAATTACTCTCTGTTGCCCCTTGGCTCAAATAGAGCCAGGGCCCCAATGGCAGCCCAGAACTTCAAGTGTCCAGGCCCATTTTATGGCCAACTTTTCCCAATGGAGCACCTTTAGCCATTTCAGTAGGAATGATTGTGTCCCTTCCACAGGGATTCTCACTGTCTCCTCTGCCCCACCCTTCTTTAACAGCTTGGTGCCTCTTGGCACTGGGTGTTCAGCCCGCACGCCTCTTGGCACTGGGTGTTCAACCCGCACAACCCTTTGTCTCTTCACAGACTCTTTGGTGGGAAGCCTACCAAGCAAGTGCCCATCGCCACAGCTGAAAATATGAAAAATTCGGTGGTCATCTCCAATCCTCATGCCACCATGACCCAGCAAGGTAACTTAGACTCCCCCTCAGGCAGTGGCATCCTGAGCAGTGGGAGCAGCAGTCCTCTCTACAGTAAGAATGTGGACATCAACCAGTCTCCTCTAGCCTCCAGCCCCAGCTCAGCCCACTCGGGCCCATCCAACAGCCTCACCTGGGGCACCAACGCCAGCAGCTCCTCGGCAGTTAGCAAGGACGGCCTGGGCTTCCAGTCTGTTAGCAGCCTTCACACCAGCTGTGAGTCCATTGACATCTCACTCAGCAGTGGAGGGGGACTGAGTCACAACTCCTCCACTGGCCTAATCACCTCCTCTAAGGACGACTCTCTGACTCCCTTTGTCAGAACCAACAGTGTGAAGACCACACTGTCGGAAAGGTTGGTGTTGTGCGTTTGGCTGCCCTTGTCTCTCAGAAGGACCTCCTTCCGAAAGTAAAAAAGATTATGTTAGGGATCTCAATTGTTAATTAACCTTTGCCTGTGAGACTTCTCTCTTTCTAATTACTGCTGTGTTTCCTTGGGGAAGCCAGTTTGGGATGGAACTAAGCTTAGCTCTGCTTCCTGTTATCTTTTTCCTTGTGGTTTTTCTCAATGCTCTGAGCTGCTGGAAGTCTCTTGGGAAGATTTAATGCTTCCATTTGAAATGGCATTCAGCCTTTGAAATTCTTGCATTTTATTCCATTTGTTCATCAATGGTTTCTTTCTCCACCACTTGCGATTGCTCAGATTGCTCAAGCAGAGTAGGTGGCCGGCTGCAGCCCTGGAGTGTGTGCTAGGACACTCTTTAGGCAGCTGAGTAGATTAGGTGGTCATCCTGGCAAACACCCTCTTACTGAAGGGCTGCCCGCCGTAGAGATAGGAAATCTAGAAACTAAAAGTGCCCACAGAGCCCCGGATTTACTGCTGTGACGCTGTGTGTTGTGTTTCTCCATGTAGGGAAAAAAGGCAGGGTCAGCACTGGGAATGAGAAAAATGTTCTGATCACTGTATGTAACACTACCTCCCCTTTTTTCCAATCTAATGTACCTTCTCTTGTTTTCTACCTGCCTGGACTTCTAGCCCTCTCTCTTCCCCTGCTGCTAGCCCTAAGTTCTGCAGAAGTACTCTGCCCAGGAAACAGGACAGGTAATGACATTGTAGGCTGGGGACCCTACCGAGCCTTCTTTAGGCTTCTCTGCCCACCTGTGTCAAGCTAGATGTTTTGCGCGAGGCTCTTGGCCTGAGGCTTCTGCTTGTGTGTGGCTCCAGTGTACTCTGTGACACCCAGACATGCCAGTGAGGGTCTGTTCTGCTGTCCGCTCAAGCCCAGGGAGCTGGGGCGGCAGAAGCTCTCACTTGCATCTCAGCCTTCTTGTGGCATGCTCCCACTTCCCAGCTTCCCACCCTTTCCTTTCTCTTCCCCTCCCCCTGCAGTCCCAGAAATGATCTACCACCCACTGTGCAGCTTGGCCCTCACCTTTGCCTGTTCCCCACTCCCCACACAGCTGGCTCTTCTCCCTTTCAAAGTCCTTTGCTGCAGTTTGGCTCATTATGTCTTGCAGGCTGTTGTGTTCTGTGTGCCCATTTCCTGTAATGATAATGAAATAGAATATATGGAGTGTTGAGACTTTGCAAACGAAGAGGCTTGTGTCTGCACCCAGTTCCCCTGTGGGTGGGCCTTCAAGGGTGGATACTAACTTTAAATTTGTGGGGAGCAATAGTTTGGCCAAACATAATAAGCAGACGTTGTTTCATGTTAAAAAAAAAAATTAATATAAAACCTCTTCACCCCATCAACAGCAAAAATTTTGTTTTTGTCAGACTCACAAACCAAGCCTTTAAACTCTTGTTGTTTGGAAATCCAAATGCCTTGACTTTATCAGCCAGCAAGTTGTAACATGCCCCGACTTGGGCCCAAGGCTCAGCTCCTAGCTACGCCCAACAAGGGCTGCAGAAACTGAAAGGGACCTGGAATTCACTTTGCTGCAGATGAATTCCAAATATGCAGACTGCTGGCCTCTTGAAACCCTCCAGCAAGTCCCCTCTCACACTTGAAGTTATTGCCAGTGGCATTTATGGAGCAGGCCAGGGCTCGGGATACAGAGAAACTGGCCATCTCTATCTCCAGGAGGCAGTGGTGGAGGTGCAGAGATGGGTGGCTGAAGGCACAGCTCAGCTTCGAGGTGGGGCATCCCCTGAGGTTTGCTTTAAACTTGTGGAAAAGAAGGAGCAATTGGGGTTGAGCGGCTTGGGGTAAAATATGCACTGATGTCAGCACAGGCCAAGGACTGGGTTTCCTTTGTTTTCCGTGGATGTGTTGCATGCATAGCTGGATGAGGGAGCACTCCTGGTGATGTGGGTGTTGGTACTACTCTCTTTTACCAGATCCCTTCAGCCCCCTCTCCAGCATCTCCCCCTTCCCATTCCCTGCCTCCCCTTGCTTCTCTGAAGTTCATTTTTGTTTTAACTTTCCTACAGTGACCCGCACCTTGATAGGAACACTTTGCCTAAGAAAGGACTCAGGTATCTGTGTTTCCTCCTTGCATCCATGCCATCTGTTGTGGCTTTGGAGCTTGGCTGTGTGACTCTCATGGCTGATGGGGGTCTGGTCTGGGCTGGGGTCCCCACTTTGGCCACCACAGCAGGACCCTTTGGATGAATTTTCCCCTCACTCCCTCCCATTCTCATCTCTCCATTTGTTGGCTTATTTGCTTGAGCAGGGGCTGTGCTTTTTCTGGCTTAATATTGCAAACCATTTCATGAAAAACATCCCTGGGCAGGCCCACAGAGCAATCACTGCTGCTTCTGGGGCCACTGGGTTAATCGCTGATCAGTGCACCACGACCATCCTGTTCATGGGGCTGTCTTCCAAGAGAAAGGACACGACTTACAGCATGTTGATTTGTTCCAAAGGACAGGAGTAAAGGAGAGAAATATTTCCCCCAAATTGGAGAATATTTAACTTTTTTGGCCCATAGAAAATTGCTAAAGACAGATAATTCACACTTGTCTGTATATTCCAATCAAAAATTGGGTCAACTTTCAATGCCCAACAAGACGCATACGATCATTTTTTGGTGAAAATAAAGAAAAGACTACCAGGAAGGAATTTCCTGTAATTCCTAATAAGTAGTAGCTTGGGTTCATTTGTGGTGCTAGTCCTGGTAAAACAAGATGCTGTAAGTCACCATTGCTCACACCATCTGAAACACTTTGCCAATCTGAGGAATTTCAGTTTGCTAACGCCTCCCCCATGATCTTTCTGTCTTGTGGTTGCAGCTGTCATTTCTCCTGCTCTCTAAACACCTTGTTCTTTGTAGCATCAGCTTCACCCTGCCCTAAGCATTAAGTGCTTTTGCATAAAATGGAACTTGGAATGAAATATTTCGTTGCTGTCATGTGTGTCTGTAGTTAGTAACATGTAGCTCTTAAGGCTGAGAGCATTTTGCACAGTAACGTGAGGTAGGTATCAATGCTTCCTTTCAATAGGAGCTCCGAGTAAAGCCAGTTCTAGCAATCTAAGAAGGAAAGTGTTGAAAAACCTCCCAACAGACAGCCTGTGGGAGGGAGTTCAGCACTGTGGACGGAAGGGGGAGTTGGCAAGGCCTTTTGTACTTCACAGTTTACATCATGCCTATTACGGCTACTTGTCAGCAAACATGCTAGATGCTTAAATCATTGATGCCCTGTTGTCCCAAAAGCAAGCTGACTTCTAAATATTAACATTTTGAAATGCTATGTATATTTGTGCAGCAGATTCTATCATGCCAAAATAATGTAGCTCTGGCTTTTTAAAGTTGGTTTTCCAAGAATTCATAATAAGGATATATGACAGACTACTTTCAGGCTTACGTTCCTACTCTCTCTGACTTTCCCTTTTTAGCTCCCTCCCTCCATATACACACATACCCAATAACAACACACCAACAACACTACCGAAGCCTTAGGCTGAAAGAATCCTCCTATTTACACAACCAGTAGTCAGCCCACAGTACCTCTGTTTATAAATCCAAGGGTACCCTGGCCACTTGGGCACTTCAGAAATTCTAGATGTTGCTTGTGGGAATAAAGAAAAGAGCATGGAATTTGGGATTAGACAAATGTGGATTGGAGTCTCAGCTATATGACTTGGGGCAGGATACTCACCTTCCCTAAATGTAAACTGGGAAGAAGAATGCCTGCATTGCTAGGTAGATCTGAGGCTTCAGTGAGAGAATGTCTATGAAGACACCTAGCACATTGTAGACATTCCATCAATCATTACCAAATACATTTCAGAATAAATGAGGAGGGGGGACCACATGACTTCTACAGACCCCCATATGTAAAACCTAACGATTTGGCTTTCCTTTTATGAAGACTTGGCTTGTGCTAGATTGCAGCAACTGCCATAAACATCAGCATTCTCAGACCTTTCCCCTTACAAGGCTGGCTTCTTATACGCTCTGATTCATGGCCATGTTGTGCTGTAGAATGCAGATGCCATGAGTTATCTAATTAAAACCTCCTCAAGCTTTAACAGCAGCGCGCTTTGTTGCTTCAGTACTGTCAGGGTGGGGGCACTGACATGACACCGTCATGAATCAACATGTTACAGATACGCCCAGTGACGGCTGTCCTGAGCATTTACCAATCTTGCTCCCTTTATGTATTTCTCCCAAACTGAAAGGAATTGCAATTTTCCCCAAAGGCGGCCAAGTAGGAGAAAAGATTTTGAGAAACTTCATAAGTTTCAGGGTGTGTAGCGATGTGATTATTTTAAATCATCTCTGGGTATATATTTTCTTTTTATATATTTACCATCAGTTCTGTGGAATTCATTTTCATAAGCGTTGTTCATAGTTAACCCCAGTTTGATTTCTGTCTGTCTAGGTATACTCCCACTTCCCAGCTTCGCACGCAAGAAGATGCAAAAGAGTGGTTCCGGTCCCATTCTGCAGGCGGCCTGCAGGACACTGCTGCCAATTCCCCCTTTTCCTCCGGCTCCAGTGTAACTTCTCCCTCCGGGACAAGATTCAACTTTTCCCAGCTTGGTGAGTAGCCACTTGTCATTAGCTGTGGTGATCAGCTCCATAGGGCAGGGGTTATCTTGTGTTTTGAAGGAGACATGTGGTCATAGACATGTGGTCATAGACATGAGGTCACATCGCTTTCAGTATCTGATCAGCCCTAAACAATGAAGTTTGATTATAGGAGATTGATAGCAAAAGAAATAGAGAGACACACTTCCGCCCACCCCTTGAACTGCTGCCTAGCACCGGTGCACTAAGCGCCTGCCAACCATGCCCACGGGGTGCCCTGGCCTACCTACCTGAGAATGTTCTCAGCTAGCGTCCTGGCCATGTGCACGGAGGCTGAAAAGGCACACAAGTACTACCGGCCCCACCTGACGATACCTGAAATTCCATCAAAGCCTGGAGAACTCAAAACAGAGCTTTGGAGACTAAAAGAGAGACAACACAAACCTCAAATTCCTGAGCAGTAGAAACCTAAAATACAACTATGCCAAGGATTCTGTGAATAATATTGTAAACCTTAAACATATATTTTTTTAAATTTATTGAAAGTCAAACTACTTGCCCTTAAGCACCTAATACAATGTTAACTGCAAGAGGAGGTGCTCAATAGATAAGAACTTATTCATTGAGAATTAACTGTGGCTTGGCCAATGTGTCTTGAAAACTGCCAAAGCTTATATCATCAGCTTCTTGAATGTGGTTTGGAAGATGTTTAGTTTTGAGTATCATGTGAAATTCGGTATTTGCAGTGTCTTCTGCAATTATAATTCTGGTTTATTTCTCTGAATAAGCTTTGACTATAATGATGAATGAGAATCATAAATTAACTATAATAAAAGTGACATTGACAGTGAAAAAGAAATAGAGAAAATAGCAAAGCTTTTGGTACTCTAATCAGTAATTGTCTTTACATGGTTGATCCAGGTAGGATGATAGCATTGAGAAAATGTATTTTTATTTCAGAGGCTTATGGAGAAGTAGGTTTTACAGCATAGCTTGTATTTGGTCATCATCATTGCTGGGGGAAAAATCAGGTTGTGATTGAGCAAGTATCCTTGGAAGTGTGTACTACTGACATATTGCTTTGACTGGCAGAGTGGGGAAGGGAAAAAAGAGTTTGTAACACAGTCCCTGCTGACACATCAATAGAGTCTTTGTAGAGAGACAAAACACAGCCACAGAGACCCATAAAATAGAGTGAAAGAGAACAATCCCAAACTTTCGATGAAAATGTGTGAAAACTGAATATACTCAGATAGTAAATATTACATACAGTTAGAAAAAGAAAAGATCAGTGCTGGCTGGAATTATTGGGGAAGGTTACATGAACAGGAGCATGTTATAGGATGGGAGCTGAGCCTTGGAGGATGGCTAGAGAGGAGAAAATGTCTTTCCCAATCTGGCAGTGCTCTTTAGAGACACTGCTTTTTCTGAATATTGTATATAATAAATTTAGAGTCATTAAGGACAGGTGTGGCTTGTAATCCAATAAGGCTTTTTAAGAAAAAACAAATTGTTTTATTTATAGCGAAGAAGTATGAGCAGGAGAGCTTGAATATGTGTAAGTGAAAATTAATACATAGGGGAAAATAATCCAAAATATACTTAGATATGAAGGGATCGACATAATTAATAATCAAAGAAGACTTGTGATGTATTTTTAGACCACTCTCTGAAGCTATTGATGCTTTGTGCTTCTGTGTGAAAGACACAGTTTGGGTCATCAAATAAAAAGTACATTGTAGGAAAAAATGTAATCATCATGTGTTACATCTTCATTTTTGATTAACTAAATGGGTACCTCTGAAAAATATTGTACATTACTAAAATGGACAGCATTTTAATAAGGCCAGTTTTGGCTCAGGTAGATGTGTCCCCCTTGAGTTGAGAGCTTTTTATACACCATTATTAAATGTTCCCCATCTGAGGCAATGAGACCTGCGTTCATATTGTTCTTTCCCAGCCGTAACTCTTTGAGGCAAGAGATTCTTGTCATGCACAAATGCTTGCCATCTGATCAAAAGCTGGGTTGGACTATTTTAGGCTTTGGCTTTAGAGAGAATTGTTCCAGATGAGTCCAGGGAATAATTAGCTCATGCCTGGAAGGTGACACTGGCTTGTCTGAACATGCCAAGTTGGAAAGCCGAGGCCTAGAGCCTTGCTTTGGAACTGACCCGTCTTTCCTCCCTTATTTTTAGCTCTGAGTTTGTAACTCAAACATTGATGTGACTACCTTTTAGAAAATAGACAGGGAGAGAAATTGGCAGGAATGTATATGGCTAACAATAAGCAGGCTCCACTTTGTGCCCAACCAGAAACTGAACAGAGACATGAAATTTCCAAGCTTTTGATTCCATTCCTTTTATTCCAGCGAGTCCCACTACTGTCACCCAGATGAGCTTGTCCAACCCAACCATGCTGAGGACCCACAGCCTCTCCAATGCCGATGGGCAGTATGACCCATACACTGACAGCCGCTTCCGGAATAGCTCCATGTCCCTGGATGAGAAGAGCAGAACCATGAGCCGCTCTGGCTCATTTCGGGATGGGTTTGAAGAAGGTAAGCAGGAGACTTGCCGTCTCTCAGATTACACAGTGTGGCTGATGGTCACTTCATTGACCTGAGAGCCATCTGTAAGTGTTTCCAATACTCCCACCTACCCTGGAGGTCAGGGCTCAGGGGTACAGGTCTAAGTAACTCTGAATAGTAGAGTCTGACTCTTCATTAATCTTGGAAGATTTTAGGGAAGAAGCTACTGAAAAAACAATGGTGAACCTTAGAGTTGACGAAGTTCTGTTCTAGGCTTCTCTCTCCTGGACTTAGTCCACAGCTTCTTGGTATACACCTGCATCTTACCGTCTTGGCAGAGCAAGTTACTGGAGAGTTCACTTCCCTGTGCTGACACACCTGTATGGCTTTGGGGGGCCTTTGGGGGGCCGTGGGCAGTTAAGACTCTCTGTTTCATTCCAAAATTTTCTGTTTCTTTCCTTGATCACCGTTCTTGAAGTTTGTTGCCTTCAGTTATGCCCTTTTTCTTCTTTGGTTGCTGAATATGAATATTTGGGTTTTATTTTCTGTGTTTTGTTCATTTTAATCAGAGTTGTGGGAGAAAATTCTTTGGGGAACTTTGTCAGCCATCTTCATGGCTCAGTTCATTTCTCTTTCCCTTTGTTCCTTCACCTGAGGTGTGAGTTAGGGGAGGAAGCAGTCAAAATGCTGGGGAGGGACATCACTCCCCACCCTTTTAAAAGCTTCTCAAAGATGGGGCTGATAGGACATCGAAGGCAGTAACTCATTAACTAATAGTTGAGAGTATGGAGTCAGACTGCTGGGTGTGAATTCCAGCTCCACCACTTCTTAAATATATGATGTTGGGCAAGTTTCTTCCCCTCTCTGTGCAGTTTTCCACCAATAAAATGGGAGTGATGATAGTACCTATCTCATGGAATTATAAGAACGAAATGAGACAATGCATATAAATGTTAACACTTTTACAATAATGTTATTACATGTCACAGCCTGTAAACACAGCTTCAGCGTTGGCTTCCTGGCAGCTGGAAGTCCCCAGCCAGAGGATGAGGGAGCCCAGGCTTGAGGGTTACACCTCTAGTTATGCCTTTCTCACCAGTGACAGAACAGAATGTGGGAGAGGGAGTCATGGTTGCTTACCTCTGGTTCTCAGTCCCTGTGAGAGTGGGGATATGTGCCCCACATCCTCCCAATAGGAAAGAACAAACTTGAGATGATTTAGGAAATCCCAAGTCAAGAGGAAGAGAAATGCAAGATGTAGGATTCCGCTTTAGTCCAGTGTTCTTTTTAACAACAGTTGTAAAGACTTTAGTTGCAGAGTGGTTGCCCTGGTTAATCTTCCTGGCAACTTAATACTCTTCACCCTGATTTATGTGTCATTTGCATCCAGTAAGCAGATGCAAGTCTGTAAATCCATATATGGGAACCTACTGGGACAGAGGATTAAGGAGGAGTGGATTCTGAGTTACTGAGAGTGTTTTTGGTAGATTTAAGAGCTAGAAACTAATTATATAAACCCTCAGAGCTGTAATAGTGGAGGATATATTAACCATAAGGTGAAGGAGTAGGCAGTTTGTCTGTAACTTTTTTCTAGTAAGTGTGCTAGCCAAGCATGGCCACGGAACATTTCCTAACCTCCTTGATGACGACTTGCATATGGAGTTTGTCCTGTGCCATATTCATCTTCTCTGTCACATGTATACCTGCCTGAACCATGTTCAGTACTGAAACTTGTCCAAACAAGCACACTTTGCCTCATAAAGGTCCAGGACCATTAGAATATCATCAGATAGCTTTTATTTATCCCATCTGGAATCAAGCTGTCAGGCGGCACAACTGTGGAATATCTTGGATGTCAACGTGACATTGATAAAAAGTGCTTGCCCACAAGCAGCGTCTAGACTTTTGTAAACCTAATGATTCATGATGACGTGGAACTGAAGCACAGAGGCAAAAATCAGATGTGGAGGGAAGAGGTAGGGACTGCTGTTGATACACTGTTAACATGTAGCTTTACATTTTCACCTTCTAGGAGATTTGGCTTTAGATTGATTTTGTTTCTTCCAAGGATATTATGTTAAAAAACAAAGCAGGGCTTGTTTAATTTGGTGTTTTTAATTCCACTGGGTGAAGACAGACTTTTTTCTTTTGAATCTATAAAGCCCCAGTTTATAGTTGGGGAAAAACATTCACATCTCATGTTTGGACCAAAGATCCTTGCTGTCAAGTCCAATTCTGACGCATAGAGACCCTACAGGACAGAATAGAACTGCCGCAAAGGGTTTCCAAGGTGGTAATCTTTACAGAAGCAGACTGCTACATCTTAGAACCTACATGTAATAGTCAATTAGGTACATTATATGCCATAAAGCAGGAAAGAAATTTAGGAGGAATTAGCACAAGTAGTTGTGTGAGGTTTCTGTCTGATTTAATTAGCACTTTCCATTCTGAAGGAAGTGGGAATCATAAATATGTAGATCAGATACAGGCATGGCCCAGATGCAACCTTTCAAAGTTATTTCAGGTAAATTGATTTTCACCAAATGCACTATGCAATCTTAAAGTCAACTTTAATAGCATACATTTAGGGAAATGCCTAACGCATATTTAAAATGGATACTTTTGGAGGGGGAAAAAATTCAGTGACTTCGTCGTCTTCATAAAGAGCTAGTACAATCTAGAATGCAGAAACTGCCACCCCTTGGTTTATATGGAACCCACAGGAGCAAAGCTACTTATTAATAAAGAAATCTGATATCAAAGCTCACTTGTGTTTCTAACCCTTGAGTTACAGATGTGATTGAAATCCTAGCACCTCGACCTTGGGTAAGGGGCTTGACCCTGCTCAGCCTCAGCCTCCAATTCACTAAAATGTGGAAAATCATTGTACTCATTTCAGAAGATTGAAGTGAAGGTTAAGTGAGATAAATTCTGGAAAGCATTTAGCAAAATAACTTTGAAAGGAGCTCAATCCTTTTGAGGCAAGTTATTTCATTCTGTCTAGTGATTTCACCCCTATCAGGTATAGGGAGGTTAATTGCATGACATGCTTTAGCTGTTTGGCCTTGGAACTTCCATCTGCATTTTGTTGTCCAAAAGTACCCAAGCCACATAACCCAGGCTGTGACTTGGCACATTTCATATGAAGGAGGGCCAGCTGCAGTGGTTCAGGCAGGCCACATTCAGTTTTGGGGTGACTCTGGAAATCAGGGAATCCGTTTGTTTGGACCACAGCCTTCCTGTTGGTATTTACTGAGTGGAGTTAATTACAGAGAAAGCCTGCCAGATGTGCTTGCCTCAGCCTGAGGCACCAAGCTTGTACTGAGATGCTGCTGGAGGCAGTGTCAATAAGTCTATGTTTACGAGATGGAGAAAAAACTTCATACAGTGCAGGCCTCTGGAAATGGCCTCTGCCAGGGCATTCGTACAAGTGTGATTGAAGGGTGGCTACATTACCCACATCTCTCCCCCAACTTGGCCTCCAAAATAATCTCCCACCTAGTAATTTGTGTCATAGGGAGTTGTCTATAACTCACCTCTTTGGAACATTAGGCCACAAGGTTAGGGCATGAGAGGTCACTGTTAATGTGTGGATATATTAGCACCAAAAGCCATTATGGACCATTAACACCTTCAACTGGGTTTTTTGTACGGCATGGGTCAGATGAGTCATGGAGGGAGGAGGAATGGAGGAAAAAAGTCTAGAACTCAGGGCATTGCTAAGGAGGGTGGATGTAAATGATGGTGTAGGGATAGCCTCAGAGCAACAGTTACCTGCTAAGAGACAAGAGAGCTGGAATGGCAAGCCGAGAGCTAACTGGGCTCAGAGGAGGTAGGAAGCCCATCCAGGTGGTGGTCAGGGAAATGAAGAAGGGCTCCAGGGAGAAGACATCTTTTGAGCCAGTCCTAGAGATTTTGACAGGCAAAAGTTAGAAGCATCCTAAACAAAAGGAACTGCGTGGACAACAACTCTGAGGCAGGAAAGTTCTGTGCAGAGCATGCCTGGGAGAGAAATGTGGAAGACTTTACCCTTCTGTGCAGAAGACAGGCGGTGGGATAGGAACGTATGAAAGAAGATTGGGAGGTCCGGGAAGTTGTGTTGAAAAGATAGTGTGGAGGCACATGAGTGTGAGGCCGAGCTGCTCATCTTGTTGGCATGCAGCTTCTGCTATGATCCAAGTTGAGTGTACTTCTTGGGTGGTAAGTGAATGCCATTTAGTACATGTGAAAAGTTATTCCTGAGCCGCCTACTTTCAGACTTGCAAGTTATAGAGTGGTGTGGAGGGAGAGGCTTTCCACTGGTGGTCAGGAAAGCTGTGCCCAATATAAAAGGTACTTGATGTCTCTATGGAAATATTTCTTTTTCTTAAGAGTTTTTTTTAATTGTACTTTATATGAAAGTTTATAGAGCAAACTAGTTTCTCATTAAACAATTAATACACATATTGCTTTGTGACATTGGTGCCAACCCCACGACCTGTCAACACTGTCCATTTCTTGACCTTGGGTTCCCCATTACCAGCTTTCCTGACCCCTCCTACCTTCTCGTCCTTGCCCGTGGACTGGTGTGCTCTTTTAATCTCATTTTGTTTTATGGGCCTGTCTAATCTTTGGCTGAAGGGTGAACCTCAGGAGTGACTTCATTACTGAGCTAAAAGGGTGTCCAGGGGCCATATTCTCAGAGTTTCTCCAGTCTCTGTCAGTCCAGTAAGTCTGGTCTTTTTTTTTTTTTTTTTTTTTGTGAGTTAGAATTTTGTTCTGTCTGGTACCTTCTATTGTGATCCGTGTCAAAGCAGTCAGTGGTGATAGCTAGGCACCATCTAGTTGTGCTAGACTCAGTCTGATGGAGGCTGTGGTACTCGTGATCCATTAGTCCTTTGGACTAATCTTTCCATTGTGTCTTTGGTTTTCTTAATTCTCCCTTGCTCCAGACAGGTGAGACCAGTGGAGTATCTTAGATGGCTACTCACGAACTTTTAAGACTCTAGACACTACTCACCACAGTAGAATGTAGAACATTTTCTTTATAAACTGTGTTATGCCAGTTGAGCTAGATGTTCCCCGAGACCATGGTCCCCACAGCTCTCAACCCAGGAGTTCAGGCCCTCAGGGAGTTTGAATGTGTCTGTGGAGCTTCCATGACCTTGCCTTGGACAAGTTGTGCTGGCTTCCCCAGTATTGTGTACTGTCTTACCCTTCACCATTTATCTATTGTCTATTTAGTGTTTTTCCCTCCTCACCCCTCCCCTCCCTCATAACCATCAAAGATTCTTTTTGTGTGTAAACCTTTTAATGGGTTTTTATAGTAGTGGTCTCATGCAATATTTGTCCTTTTGTGATTGACTTAGTTCACTCAGCATAGTGCCCTCCAGATTCATCCATGTTGTGAGATGCTTCGAAGATTCATCATTGTTCTTTATCATTGCAGAGTATTCCATTGTATATATGTACCATAGTTTATCCATTCATCTGTTGATGGGCACCTAGGTTGTTTCCATATTTTTGCCATTGTGAACAATGCTGCAGTGAACATGGGTGTACATATGTCTATTTGTGTGACAGCTCTTATTTCTCTAGGATATATTCCTAGGAGTGGGATTGCTGGATCGTACAGTATTTCTATTTCTAGCTTTTTGAGGAAGTGCCATATCATTTTCCAAAATGGTAGTACCATTTTGCATTCCCACCAGCAATGCATAAGAGTTCCAATCTCCGCGCAGTCTCTCCAGCATTTGTTATTTTCTATGTTTTTCATTCGTGCCAGTAATGTTGGGGTGAGATGATATCTCATTGTAGTTTTGATTTGTATTTCTCTAATGGCTAGTGATTGCGAGCATTTCCTCATGTGTCTGTTAGCCGCTTAAATGTCTTCGTTTGTTGAGTGTCTGTTCATATCTTTTGTCATTTTTTAATTAGATAATTTGTCTATAGAGGTGTTGGGTTTTTCTGTAGATTTTAGAGATTAGACCTTTGTCGGATTTGTCATAGCCAAAAAATTTTTCTCAGTGTGTAGTTCTCTTTTTACTATCTTGGTAAAGTCTTTTGATGAGCATAAGTGTTTTATTTTTAGAAAATCCCAGTTATCTAGCTTATCTGCTGGTGTTTGTGTATTGTTAGTTATGGTTTGCCATATATTAGAGCCTCTAGCGTTGACCCTATTGTTTCTTCTATGATCTTTATAGTTTTTGATTTTATGTTTAGGTCTTTGATCCATTTTGAATTAGTTTTTGTATATGGTGTGAGGTATGGGTCCTGTTTCATTTTTTTGCATATGGGCGTCCACTTTTGCCAGCACCATTTGTTAAAAAGATTGTCTTTTCCCCATTTGATGGACTTTGGGCCTTTGTTGAAGATCAGGTGACCATAGGTGGATGGATTTACATCTGGGTTCTCATTTCTGTTCCTTTGGTCCATGTGTCTGTCGTTGTACCAGTACCAGGCTGTTTGGACTACCATAGCTGTATAGTAGGTTCTGAGGTCAGGTAGTACGAGTCCTCCTACTTTCTTCTTCAATAGTACTTTACTTATCCGGTGCTTCTTCCCTTTCCATATAAAGTTAGTGATTAGTTTTTCCATCTCTTTAAAGAATGCCATTGGTATTTGGATTGGGATTGCATTGCATTTGTAGATTGCTTTGGATAGAATTGACATTTTCACAATGTTGAGTCTACCTATCTATGAGCATGGTATGCTTTTCCATTTATGTAGTTCTCTTTTGATTTCTTGCAGTAGTGTTTTGTAGTTTTCTTTGTACACGTCTTTTACATCCCTGGTTAGATTTATTCCTAAGTATTTTATTTTTTCTAGGGGCTTTTATAAATGATATTGTTTTTCTATGGGAACGTATTTGTCTTCAAACAAATTGCCAATAGATTACAAAGAAAATGTCATTGAAGAACCTGGATTCCACACAGAGAAGGCAGCCAGAATACTCTGTCCTGGGAAAGATCATTCTTTAAAATTACATGAGAACAAATAGTAAAATATCACCACTGGCTGGGGGCAGGAGGGCGTGCTGAAGGGGATGCTGAGAATAACTCTGAATCCAAATGTGTAAGTCACAAACAGAAAAGAGGACACCACTTTCTTGTCACTTTGTAGACATAATGGAATCAAATGAAGAATCTATTTTAGTGAATGTGGTTTCTAAACTAATGTTCTGCTACATGGTTGTCTAGAAAGAAGTTACTGTGGCTAATGTAGCCTCTTATGTTCAAAATAGTCAGCTCATTTTTTTCTCCACATACAAGTAACAGATGCTAGTAGGGTATAAAATATATATGCAGCACAGTCTCAACCCTAAAAGAATATATTGTTTAAAAGACTGGAATAAAATATGCTGAAACAGTAACAGGTTGCCTCTGGGTAATGGAATTATGAGTCATGCAGGTTATGGTGGTGAGTGTGCTTTTTAACACTTCTCTGTAATCGAAAATTTTTATTCAGTGATCACGTATTATTTTGATAGTCAAGAAAAAAGTGTTTAGAAGGTTATAGGAAAAAAATATGATAATAGGAAAGTGACTCCCTTAGCAAACTTTTCCTTATTTGGCACTGATCTGTCATCAAACAGGAAGGGTTGAATCAAGGCGAGATTAAGTTGTTCCGTGTTAAGGTCTCAGCCTGGTAGTGTCCTATCATGCTGATTTCCTCCTCCTCTTTCTGGCTTCGTATAGCAGCTAGCTGTGCAATTCACCTTTTCTTCTTTTTATAGTTCATGGATCCTCACTCTCCTTGGTTTCCAGCACATCATCAATTTATTCTACAGTGAGTATAAAGAAATGTCATTTGGCTGGGGTTCCTTTATCAAGCGTCTCAAGAATCAGATATAGGCATTTCTCTTATAGAGAACATTTCCGTTATAAGGGGATCAGTTAACTAGAGAAGAAGATTTGAACTTCACAGACAGCTATTGATTATAATGTGCCTACTAATAAATTAAAAACTGGCTGCTTTGTTTAAGCAGCTTTGCTCATTGGGTGATGACTGGTTGGAATGTGTGAGAAGACTTGGCCGCCTGCTGGTAGATTTGGAAAAAAAAGGCCTTGAGCAACTTTTTAATCCTTTGTGTGCCTCAGTTTCATTATCTGTAAAGTAGAAAGAATAGCAGTCTTTACCGTATAGGCAAGGAGCCCTGGTGGCACAGTGGTTAATTGCTCAGCTGCTAGCCGAAAAGATTGGCGGTTCGAACCTAGCAGCCGCTGCACGGGAGGAAGATGTGGCAGTCTGCTTCCATAAAGATTACAGCCTTAGAAACCTATGGGGCAGTTCTACTCTGTCCTGTAGGGTCCCTATGAGTCAGAATCGACTCGATGGCAATGGGTACCTTATAGAGTTGTAATGAGGATTAAATGTTATAAGGATTACATTTGACTACAGTATAAACTCCTTGATGAGAAAGACTTCTTTCTGTTTTTATTCCTAGTGTCTAGAACAGTGCCTAGCACATAGTAGATGTTCAGAAAAATTAGTTTAAATGAAATTATACATCTAAAGCACCAAGTAAGTACTCAGTAAGTGTTAGTAGCTGTCATCAATGAGAGGATTATTAAACAAAAGCCAAATATAATCAAGTGTAGTACTGGATTTGTTTAGTCTTACTTAGTTTTTATAGCTATACACTTATAAATACTTATCTCAAAAACTTTAGATCTAGAATACCTACAGGAAAAAAAGCATGTTGTTATTGTGAATCACAAATTCTTTAGCCTTAATTCTATGGAAACAAGGTGTTTTAATAATTCCTTTTTTAAAAAAAAATAATACCATGTTTCTGGGCTATATGAAAGGACAAACTGTACATAGTCCCTTGCAGGTAAGAGGACATCCCAGAAGCAAGTTAAAGAGAACAAGTTCTGATTGTTCTTTCTTAGACCTATAGCAAGCAAACAGACTTCAGTGATTGCTGACATGGTCTGATTCAAAGGTTCTAGAAACACTCTCTTACACTCCTTCCCATCCTGCCCCTCCAACTCCAAAATACCTCTTTCCTTAGCTGGACATCTTGTCTGGCTTTCATTTTAAAGGCCTTCTATATAATATCCTTGGGAAGGGGTTATTTAAGCTATTGTCTGTTAAGAAAGTGTAGAGATGGCTCTCCAGCTGTCAGCCAGTGGATAAGCTAAGTTCTTCTAGAAAGAAACTCTGGAATGTGGGTACCAGGAATGGTACTTCCAAAACTAAATTCATTTATTCAATATTATTTACTGGCGCCATGTGTAGTCCAGGCTCTAGGCTAAGAGCTGAAGATACGGTTTAGGTAGAGAAAAGAGCTGCTGCAAGAGGAAGCTGAAGGCGCCACGGGCACCTAGAGATGTGGAGCTTTGCAGTTTCGTGGGGTCGATGCAGAACAGCCACAGCAGACACTTCAGTGCCCGAGCCCCATGTTTTCCTAGTGGCATTCCCGGGGTTTCCTCTCAACACAGAGAGAACCCTTTTCAAAAGGGTGAAAAATGGGAGGCTGGCCTGCATCAGCCAGCCTTGGAGAGAAAGAGCATGAGTGTCTCCATCTGTAAGTATTCAGATATAAGAAACCATCGTGTACAATTCCTGGGCACCCCCTCATGCTAGCCACTGGAAGGTCGTGCAGTGAAAGGCTTCTACTCCAGTAGCTGTTGTTCTGGGTGTGTGGACATGAAGCTGGTGTTTGCATGAAATTTGAAATTGTCCTTTCTGAGTTGATATAAATCCACAAATTACCAAAAACCTAATAGTAATAATTTTTAATTCCATGTTCATCTGGATAGCAACAGACCTGAAGTCTAATCTTAGATTTTTCTGACTGTATGATTTTGGACAAATCACCTCATTATTCTGGGTGTTTCTCAGTTTCACTCCCTGTGTCAGGGACTTTGAGATCCCTAAACCCCTGATGCCTCAGAAGTCACAGAGTCAGAGGTTCCCTTTCACAGTCCTTACATTTGCCTTCTCTAAGGACATAGGTCCCTTTTGCAGAATTTTTAAAATAGTCTAACATTTGAATATTTTCATACTAGGAGGGGTCTGCTAATTCCAAGGAAAACTGCAAGTCTGGCTAGACTGACATCACCAAGAACTGATTTGTGGTCCCTTATCTGTTATTAGCAACTTGATGAAATTCTGAAACAAATGCTCAGGTGCCTTTGTAAATGTTAAGATAAACAGTACAGTTCTATTCTGATGTCTAAAAGGAGGCTCTTTCGAGTATCTTAAGTTGCCATAGGCCCAGACCAAAGAGCCTGTTTAACAGCTGAGAGTTTTAAATCTTCTTACTGGATAACAATAAGTTCTTTTCCTAAAAATTCTATGCTGTATTGTTAGTTGCCATTGAGACGATTCCGACCCATTGCTTTCCCATGTGTACAAAGTAAAACTGCTCCGTAGGGTTTTTAAGGCTGTGACCTTTCAGAAGCACATCGTCAAGCCTGTCTTCCAAGGTGCCTTTGGGTGGGTTTGAACCACCAACCTTTCACTTTCAGCTGGTAGTCGAGCTCTTAACCATTATGCCACCCAGGAACTCCTAAAAACCCTACAATTCTTGGATATTCAAGAATGCTCCTTCTGCCTGAAATTTGCCTGTAATTTTAATTACAAATGAAAGAAAAGGCAACATGATGTTAAACTGTCATGGAGAAGTCATGGCCAGCCCTTGGAGTCAAGAAAATCTAAGAGGCCACATCTGGCATCAGATTTGCTTTCTTGGTTGGTAGGGAGGCGCAGTTGAGTTCCCAGGAGAGCTGCTGAATGGTAGTTCAGTCACTTCACGTGGGGCTTCCCACATGTACAGAAGAGCAGCAACACCTGGGGGCAAGATGCAAAACACCTGGTTTCTCCAAGCTGTTGTTGAGAATGAGCGCCCAACCCAAGAGACAGGAGAATATCTATCCCAATCTTCTGGAAAGGTTTGATGAGATGTCCAGCTGTGTGAGCTTAGGCTGGATAGTGACAGACAGTGGCAGCAGCTTGGGGAAGGACTGTTAAAGCCTGTTAATAGAGATGTTTAGAAGCAGGACTGGTCCTGTGTGGATGGTTCAGCCTGCTAATAGGCCTCCACCGTCTTCCCAAATGTTAGATAGCTGTGACACTCTGTCAGTTTGTTTCCTGTGGATCAGACTCAGAAGTCAGGGGCTTTATTTCTAGAAAGCCTCCATGAAAATGTGGCTATCATAAAAGAGCAGAAGAATACGCTGGTTAAGCTCATAGGGTCTGGAGCCAGACTGCCTTGGATCCAATCCCAGCTCCACCACTTACCAGCTATGACCATGTGATTTAACCTCTTTGTACCTTTGTTTCATCTGCAAAACAGAGAGCAATCATATTACTACCTACTCAGAAGGTTATTTCGAGGATTAAATGAATATTGAGTGCAAAGTACTTGCAATAATCTCTGGCACATGGTAAGCACTCAGTAAATGCTAGTTATATAAGCAACATGAGGTCAAGAACTCGGTCTTGCTCACAGCCGTATCCTGGGTTCTTAAAACAATGCCTGGCACGTAGTAGGAAATCAGTAAATATTTGACAGGCAGATGGATGAATGTACTGAAAAAGATGGATGAATATTATCTGGGAGGGAAAAGTGAACCCTGAGGATATCTGTCCTAATCTTCTTCTGAAAACATTTGATGAGCTTGTCTAGCTGTGTGAGCTTAGGCTAGATACCTACCCTCTCTGAGCCTCAGAAAGAATACAAACAACTTACTTTACGGGGTTACTGCAAGGGTTAAATTATTTGGCCCCGGTGTTCTTAAAAATTACTATTATTAGGAGCCAGCCTGGAAGGAGGAGGGAGCTCTTGGGCAGGATTAAGAGTGAGGGCAGTGGGGAAAAGGGGGTGAAGGGGGAGGTCAGTCAGGAAGCAGCCACCCAGCCAATGGGTGTGGGGTCTGTGGGGTCTAATTAATCATACCCCTCTGCATTTGAACTAATGGAGAAGTAGGCACTAGAGCCAGGTGCTGATTTTTAAAAAACAATGGTTTTATCATTAGTAAAATTGGATTAGGACACACAGCAAGGCCCCAAGGACAAAATAGGATCCTTACTGATTTGCACTCACCTACCTGGTTTCCAAGTTGCTCTTCCACCCTGAAGTGCAGGTGGTGGAATGTTGAGAAGGGCAGGAACACTTCCAACATTTCCAGGAAGGAGAGATGGGTTCCTCTTTTATGGGCCCCAGTGGGAACCCAAGGAGAGGGAAAGAACAGTTCCCTCTGCAGCAGGTTTTCCCCCACCCACGCAGGTTTCCCCTATGGGAGAACAGAGGGAGTCTGTAGTCTCAGGCTGGCACGTGCCTGTGTCATCACAGACATAGGGCCCAGCGTAGAAGGCTTGGTCAATAAGAGGGGCCACAGGCTTTGCCCCTACTCCTCAGGGACACAGGTAATTGGGGGACTTGAGGTAGGGCATCAGGAAGGCAAAGGCCACATGTATCCTAACAATCTGGAGAGTCACCAGGCTGGCTGATGGGGACTCCCAGCCACCCTCACTTTGGGGGCCACTGCTCTTGCTACAGTTTCCTAGAGAGATTGGAGGGAGGGATAAAATGAGGATAAACTGCTATGAACAGTACCTCCCAACCTCCAGCTAGAGTTACCACATAAAATATGGAACTTCAAATTATATTTGAAATTCAGATCAGCAACAAATAATTTTTTAGAATAAGTATGTTCCCAATATCTCATGGGACTTAACCCACTGCCGTTGAGTTGATTCTCACTTAATCGTGACCCTATAGGACAGAGCATGGGACATACTTATACTAAAAAATTATCACATACCTCATCACATACCTTCTCATAAGCCCCTTACCCTATTACCATCCTATCTCCACATGGAGGTAGGGTGGCTCCTTACAAAGAAATAATTGAAGGTGTTGCTGTAATTCCTTGGAATTCTTATTATGATATGCTGTTTGTATTTTAGCCCTTTCTGATTGGGCAAATAATTAAACCAGTTTGTCTAGAGAAATAGAGTAGAGGAGATGGCAGTCAGTGCCCAAATATGGATTCTCCATGGGTTGGACTACACTGTAGTTTCTTCCTCAGTGGGTCTAATGTTCCTTCTGTTTTCTTTACAGCCAGAGGAAAAATGCCAGTCAGAGGTAAGGAATAGTTTACTAACTGGATTTCTTCTCTCACTAACATCGTGTTTTATTACCCAGCTCAACCTGGGACGGACTCGCAAAGCAAGTAACTCTGACCCTTGTCGTCTTTAGATTCGCAAATTGCGGCGGGAGCTGGATGCCTCCCAGGAAAAGGTTTCAGCACTGACCACCCAGCTGACAGCAAATGTGAGTACAGACACAAAGGCCGTAGCCATCTGCCTGAAGCCACTGCTGCTCCGAATGTTACCTGAAGGCCTCCTGACCCTGAACATCGTAGAAGCAGCAGTGTAATAAAAAGAACATGGGCTTTGGAATCAGGTGTGAATGTCAGCGCTGACACTGAATGTCTGGCTCGGTGACTTTGGGCAAGTTTTTTAACCTCAGAGGCTATAAATATAGCTTCTCTGTAAAATGAGGAGATGGTAATACCTCTCAGGATTGTCATGTGATCAGTTTGAAAATTTGATTGGGGGTGGGGAGAAGAAAGGTTTAAAAAAGAAAGAAAGAAATCCAGGTCTCCACAATAAACAGCCAGCTGCTCTGTAATTATAATATACAGGATTACGTGTTTAGGAGGCACTGCCAACCAGCATTGAATTCAGTAACTGTTGGAGTGCCAGCTATGCCCTGGGCGTTGTGGGTTCAACAGCAAAGCAAGCACAGTCACTGTTATCTTAGCATTCAGTTGCTGGTACAGCAGATAGACAAAACAAGCAATTTTGCTACAACGTGATAACTGTTATGATAGAGATAAAGGGAGGAGGCTGTGGGAATATATAGGAGGAGTACATAACTCAGTCTCTGGGGAGGGGGTCAGGAAGGCTTACCAGAGGAGGTGACATCTGAGTGGACTCTGGATGGATACTATGTGGAGGAAGGATGCACGGGGAGGACAGCATTCTATCATTCTAATCAAAGAGAAGAGTTTGTGCAAAGTCCCAAGGTGAAAGATTTTGGTGCATTTAGAAACTCTAAGTGGCTCACTGTAATTAAAATGTAGAGCTTAGATGTGGGGAGAGAGGTAGGGTGGAGAGGAGGAGGAAGTAGGAGGCATTGAAGAAAGGCGGGGGTCAGATTGCAGCGTGTCTAGTTGTAGACTGAGGGTTTGGAATTTATCCTGAAGTTAGTGGAGACCTATCAGTGAGTTTTAAGCAGAGCAGTGAGGTGGTCAGATTGCTCTTTAGAAAGGTTCCGGATAGTGGTGTGGAGACTGGGTTCAGGGGGTCACAGTGGAGGCCGAAGTCTATAAAGCAGCCCTCTGCAGAGCTGTGACAGGTGAGGGCTGAAGCTCAGAAGGTGGAGCTTAAGGTATTGGAAGATGCTGAGAGGCTCTGAGGCCAGGCTTCCTACCCAGCAGTACACTGCCCAATCTCAGACTACACAGATAAATTTGTGTGAGCTTCTGTCATAAACCAACCTGCTTAACTTCTCAGTTTTGTTAAATTGGAAAGCGACTTTAAAAAGTTGTCTTCCTTTAACCAGGAAGTGGAGTTAGTACTCAAGAATCGGTCATTTACCTGGAATTTTTACCCAGGTGGTTCCCAGATTAGGAGTCCTTGGCTGCTGTAAATGGTTAACATGCTTGGTAGCTAACCAAAAGGTTGGAGGTTTGAGTCTACCTATAAGTACCTCAGAAGAAAGGCCTGCCAGTCTACTTCCAAAAAATCAGCCATTGAAAACCCTTTGGAGTACAGTTCTACTCTGACACACATGGGGTCACCATGAGACGGAATCGACTCAATGGAAACTGGTCAATTCCCAGTTTCCTGAGTCCACTCAAGGAAGGAGACCTGGTGGCGCAGTGGTTAAATACTCAGCTGCTAACCAAAAGGTCAGCAGTTGGAACCCACCAGCTGCTCTGTGGGAGAAAGATGTGGCAGTCTGCTTCTGTAAACATTACAGCCTTGGAAACCCCATGGGACAGATTTACTCTGTCATATGGGATCGCTATGAGGCGGAATCGACTGGAAGGCAGTGGGCTTGGTTTGAGTAACACAGAGCTTGACCTTAGTTACAAGTTCAATAATTGGTAGCTGCTATCACTATTGTTCAGTCTGCTGAGGTCTCCTACATTTCTGGAACTCTGATTTTTTTTTTTTTTTGAAAACCCTAACATACTTAGCCCCTGCGTGTTTTACAATCCTTTATTTTCTTTATCTCTTCCCCTGCCGGTAATGCTACCGAAAGCATATCAGGAATTGATGTGAGAAGTGAATTTTGAGGCTTTGATCCCCTCCAAAAAAACGGCAGAGGTATTCTTCTATGGGTAGATGCTTCATCTGAGTAACCAGATGTGTACATTAACATCCAGGACCAATCCCAGCCCACTGAGCTGGGGTCTGCTAGGTGAAGTCCGGACATTTGAGGCTTGACACCAACCCCCTCCCAAGTGATTCTAAAATACCTTCCTAGTTAAGAATCATAGCCCCCTTCTTAATCAACAAATAGCCATTAATCTGCTTATAAATGAGCATGGGTTAATTCCTGCAGTGACCTAGCACTGCCACCAGGGCCACTTGGAACGCCATTCTTTATTCCAGAAGGGTCAGTAAGATCCCTTACGTTATTCCAAAAGTGTGTTTTTGCTCCTCACAAAAGCCATTGAATCCAGTATTGTTTTAAAGTAAATATTTAGTCTTACCACACACCACAGGCAGGGCTAGCATGTTTTATTGTCTGCCATCTTTCTCACATGCCAAGCTGTGTTTGTTTTTCTAGGACAAACTACTCAAAGCCACCTTCGCTGGGTGTTTTTATACCACTCCTGTTTGTTTTCCCTTGGAATGTGAGAATGGTGATTGATGAGAAGGTCGTTGTGTGGCTCTGAACCAGACTCGGAATGGCCTCCCCGGCCCCTATTTTCATAGTTGAGCTCATGACACAAAAATAGTCCTTGGGTTTGCCAGCAAAATGAGACCCTCTGCTATGAACTGGCTCTTCAGAGCAAATGTGGTTTCTCTTTGAGCCTGCAAAAACACTTCCTCAATAACAGTCTTCGTGGGGTCAGGTTTTTGTTTTTGCTTTTAACTGAATAGGAAATATGGATGCCCAAATAGAATCATGGGTGGCAGCCAAGCACAGAATTGAAATAAATAGAAATTTAGTCATTTAAAAGTCTTCGTCTTTTTTTTTTTTTTTTTCCAAATTCAAGGAATAGTAGTCATTCTTTTAGATTTCCATGCACTGGCCTGTTTCCTTTACTACTATGTGACTGTCTTCAGTTGTTTGGTTTTGCCACGTTCTGCAGGACAAACTAAGGCTTATCTCTTTATTTTAAAATGCAGGGGCATTTTCTCAATTTTTTGTAGGGAGAGAATGTGCATTCAGAAAGAAAATAGCTCTTCCATTCAACATTTCTATTACATGTGGTCCTGCTCCCTGCCAACTTCTATGGCTGTTGGACAAAAGATTCAACAGTTGATCCTAGAAGTAGCTTACCCTCAACTATCCCTGTTTGATGAAGTCTAGGAACGGAGGCCTCTGATTCACTCCTCAAATCTCTCCTTAAATTGAAATTGTCCACTGAGCCTCCTCACAGCCCAGGGCAAAGGCCTCTCCCCTGCTGTTCTTATCCCACCCTTATTCTCTGCTATGTCATCAATCATCTTTTCCTCTAGAATTTTACAGCACGATCAAATCTCACTTCTCCCAAGACTTCTCTCACGTGTCCTCTGCTGGTTCTTCTTCCTATCCCTTCTGTAGCCCTCTTGTATCTACCCACCTTTTCCCTAGGACCTTCTCTTGATCTCCCTATACCTGTGTTTTCAGTAACACATCTCCTTTTATGATTTATTTTGTCACTTTCATATTCCCAGACCTCTTCCTTTCCCGCTCATCGCCCATTCATTCCTGTGTTAGGCAATTCCTTACTAGTTTATAGAAAATTTTCACCTATATTAGTTCATTTAATGCCCATAGTAATCTGGGGAGAACAATATTGTCCCCATGTTATAGATGAAGAAACTGAAGCCAATAGGATTAGATGATTTGCTCAGAATTGTGGATAATCAAAGGATTAGAACTGAGGCCCTCTAACTCTAAATCCTGTTCCCTTCCTAGTGCCGTTATTGTTGTTGGATGCCATGGAGTTGATTCAGATGCATAGCGACCCCATGTAACTGAGTAGAACTGCCCCGAAGGGTTTTCTAGGCTGTAATCATTACAGGAGCAGGTCACCAGGTCTTTTTCCCACGGAGCTGCTGGGTGGGTTTGAACCACCAACTTTTTGGTTAGCAGCTGAGTGCTTAACCATTGTGCCACCAGGGCTCCTTCCTTGTGCCACATTTTCTCTTCAGTCCTTCATTCACTCATCCTACCACACATTTATTGAGTGGCTACTTTGTGCCAGCACTGGGGATACAAGGGTGGGCAAGACAGACATGGTCTCAAACCTCATCAACTGTCCACCAACTAGTGTTCCAGCTGGTCTGCTGCTTAAATGCCTCTAACTACGGGATATTCCATGATCCCATTTATATAAATAGAGTTTGGAAGTTAGAATATCTTGGCAGTCTAATGAATCTCTCAATTTGATTTCTAAAAATTTCTTAGAACAACTGTTTGAGAAAATGCCCATTCTTTAGTCTTGGTTTTAACAATAATATCAGGATCCTTATTCAGTCTACCAACATTTCACTATTACTCTGTGTCCCAGGCAGAGGCGTCGTGCTAGGACACAAAAGTACATGTTACCCTTAAAGAGGAGGATCACAGAGAAGAGTGCAGGCAAGAAAACACCGTATTTCTCAATTCTGAAATACACTTTTTTTTTTTTTTTTAACATTTTAACATCTCTAAAAACTGGATGCACCTTTTAATTATAATTGGTAGCATTTTTTTCTTTCTTAATAATATATAAAATAATGGCACATCTGATGCTGTTCTAGAAGAGGTGTGTAAAAGTGCGGGGTAGCCTGGGAAAATCCTAACTCCGTGGGGAACCTGGGAAAGGTTTTCTCAAGGAGGTAGCAGATGGGCCTTGCTTGCAGTGGCTTTTTATTAACTAGGATGATAACAGGCACAATCTGAAACCCCTTTGGTCATTCATTCTACAGATATGTTCAATCTGAGCCTCTACCATGAGCAGAAGTTCGTCCTACGATGTAGTACAGGAGACAGACAAAAGTCAACAATCACAGGACTCCATGTATCTTTAACTGTGATACCACAAAGCACATATCAGAAGTACAATGTGCTTATGAAAGTGAATATGAAGGAACCTACCCAGCGCAGGGTTGTCATGGAGGCAGGAGCTGAGATCTCTTGAGAACGCCGTGTAAAAGTTAGTTGGGCAAGGAGGAGTGTAGGGGAAGAGCATTCCAGGCAGATGGAAAAGCATTTACAAAGGCCATAAGGTAGGAAGGAGCACAGGGTATATGAGGAAGCAAAAGGCTAGAGCAACTGGATCCCAAAGAGTGATGGGAGTGGGATTCAAGAGGAGGCTGAAGAAGTAGAAGAAGGGGATAGATCAAGTACCCCTGATAAGGATTTCAATTTCAGTCTTTAAGATCCAGCACCTTTTAGGCACTCTTGCGTTGCAAGGTAGTGTAACCCATGGCTCTGTCTTTCCCCTCCAGGCTCACCTGGTGGCAGCCTTTGAACAGAGTCTTGGAAACATGACAATCAGGCTCCAGAGTTTGACCATGACGGCTGAGCAAAAGGCAAGGCAGAAAGGATGCTTTTTTTTCCTCCCTGCTTAGAGTTAACAATAAACTGAAAAATAGTACTCTCTTTCACTTCAGATAATTGTATAGATTTTAGTATACTTCTTCAACTATTAGAATTTAATTGTAAAGAGTTCTTACTACTTTCATGTGCTCATTTATGCCCATTGAAAATTGATCCAGCTTCACGTATAAGACAGAGGTTTTGTTGACCTCCTTCATTCTCCACTCTCCTTGGTTGGAGCTAAATTGTTCTTCATTCTCTGTACAGAATGATTTTAAGATTACCAGTGTTTTTTTCTGTTCCACAGGACTCAGAACTGAATGAGTTAAGAAAAACCATTGAGCTGCTTAAGAAACAGAACGCAGCTGCCCAGGCTGCCATTAACGGAGTAATTAACACCCCAGAGCTCAACTGCAAAGGTAAAGTCACAGAAACAGCCTTCAGACAAACCACCTGCCTGCCCTTAGGAGCCCTCCCCCCATGACATATGATGCAACTTCCATACTAGAAGGTCCGACTTCTAGTCAGTTGGTCAGGCAAACACTTTTAATCTGGTTACTTCTGGCCTCTGCACATGGCAATTCCAGCTCATCCTCTTCTCTGATGTGTGTTAAAGTGTTTCACAGCCCTTAACTCCATCAACACTTTGATACTTTGATGTTGTTATTGGGTAAACTGAAATGAGTTCATCTCTTATTTATCCAGGAAGATATTTCTGAGTGAATTGCTTTTCCCTTGTGTATTTTTACTTGTATTCAGGGAGAAAAAAATATGGGCATGTGGGTGACTTACCTCTTGCCATAATGATATTAAGAGTAATAGAATAGTAATAGTTAACATTTATGGAACACTTGCTATGTTCTAAACATTATGGTAAGTGTTTTAAACATTTAATTATCTCGTTTCCTTTCAACAACAACCTTATCATTGTTGATGAGAACACTGAGTTTTATTAGAGACCAGAGTCACTTGCCTAAGGCCATACAGAGTTGTAAGTAGCAAAGGTGGGGCTGGAACCCAAACATATTTGACTCTGCAACCAGTGCCCTTAAAAACTAGGCTGTCGGTATAGTTCTGTGCTCATGAGGAAAACTATCTGTAAACTTTATTTCTGGTATCAGTGTCATTTTAGATGTCAGGCCTCCTGAAAAAGTGATGATAGAGTTGAAATGGGAAGGATTAGCAAGGATAGTCCAGACAGAGTAGACGGAAAGGAGCATTCAGGCAGAGGGACTAGCATGTGTGAGGGCCCTGTGGTGAGATGAGTTTGGCATTTTCAGGGGGCTGCAAGAAGGCTGGTGCAGTAGGAGGACAGACAGCAAGGGAGAGAGGAACTAACGACAGAGGTGACTGTTGCTACAACTCAACAAAGATCATTTTAGTACTGGTGGCGCAGTGGTTAAGAGTTCAGCTGCTAACCAAAAGTTCAGCAGTTCGAATCCACCAGCCGTTCCATGGAAACCCTACGGGGCAGTTTCTACTCCATCCTATAGGGTCACTACGAGTCAGAATCGACCTGATGGCAGCAGGGTTTAAGGCTTAAGAAGGAGTCCCTGGGTGGTGCAAACAGTTAAACACTTGACTACTAGCTAAAAGATTGGTGGTTAAGAACCTACCCAGAGGTGCTTAGGAAGATAGGCCTTGCAATATCCTTCCAAAAGGTCACATCCTTGAAAACCTTATGGAGCACAGTTCTACTCTGAAGCACATGAGGTCGCCATGAGTCAGAATTGACTCGATGGCAGCTAACAACGATATCAAGGCCTAATAGCTGGTTTGGGGGCTGATTCTCTCTAAGCCTCCCCTGACTTCGGTTTTGCAAAGTGGGGATTGAGAGAGAGACCTCATTTAATTGACAGAAAAGGGCATAGCACCCACCTCCTGAAGGATCTTAAAACCAAGTAAACAAAAGGTAATATCTCAGGGGAAAATACCCTGTAGTCCTGGGTGTGTGAATTTAAGGGTCATTCCCTGGGACAGAGGCATGGTTCAAGTCAGCAGCTGCTGATACCCTGCCTCTGCTCTCCAGGAAACGGTACCTCCCAGGCTGCAGACCTCCGCATCCGCAGGCAGCACTCTTCTGACAGCGTCTCCAGCATCAACAGCGCCACCAGCCACTCCAGTGTGGGCAGCAACATAGAGAGTGATTCAAAGAAAAAGAAGAGAAAGAACTGGGTAAGTGTACATCCAAAGACTCTCTTGGTACTGACTGAGTCAGCCTCAGAACCAGTGTTTCTGAAGGATCCCAGAGAAAGCCCAGGGGAGCCCTTAATTTCAGAACATAGGCCTTTGGGAATAGATGCAAGGAAATGGTTTGTGGATAGATTTTTCTGAAAATTAATGCTGTCCTCAGCCAAACACTAGGATTTATAAAATAACCACCACCTTGTAGTTTTTCTGTTTCATGAGACTTTATGTGAAATACTGATCTTTCATTTCACATAAATGTCATTTCTTCCTTGTTAAATGTTGGCCACAGAGTTTTAGATAGTAGAACAAAGATATTCTTTTTTAAGTGTATTCTTCTTAGTTTAGTTAGTTCCAAAATATTTTTTTTTTAAGTCACAAGTTAACCATAGTTAACCATACCATATCTCATAGTTAATCATAATCTTTGCCTATTTATTGACATAATTGCGTAGGATAGCATCAAACCAACCTTCTCTGAAAATCTTTTGACCATGTCTTGTAAATAAAAATTTCATGATGTAGATGTTATGAGTTAGTGAGTGCTTCTAAAACTAGGGGTTGTACCCAAAAACGTTTGATAGGATTAGTCTCTATGTTTCCATAATCCCAATGAGCTATTTGAATTTCTTCACAGTGATGTCTTGGACAGTTTTTCCCACTCTCCTGGGAAAATCCTACCTCTCTGCCCCATTTTTTTTTTAAGTTCTGCTCCTTGTCTTCAGTGCAGGGATATCCCAAGTTGATCAGGAGTTGGCCAGTGTCCAAAGGGTCCCATTTGTCAGTGTTGCCAAGATCATGTTTTCATAGTAGCTGTAATGTCCTCATTCATTCCATACACATCTCATTCATTTTGTGTCATCTTGGATGGGTGGCGAGGTCTAGTCATAGAAGAGTTGAGGGTTTAGCAATTTTGTTTATTGATGACTTGCATTGGAGACAAACTAAAAGGCCAATCAGTATGACCCTCTTGTTGTTCTGATTAATTTTTTTAAACTACTAATGGCTTTTAGTCAACTCATCTGCTATAACTAAACAGCATTAATTCATGGTTCTGTTTCTATTGATAAATTATACTATTGATAAATATGGTCTGATTTGATTATCAAAGTGATGAATTTTTTCCTGTGAAAAATAGCAGTTTTCAATCTTCTTCGATTCAAGAAATAAAACTTGTTTATTTTGCTTTGAGACAACTCTTGGCTATCAGTGAAATCAGGGAGAATGGATCATTTGCCTCCTCAGATAATCCCAAGGTTTAATTCTGTCTAATCTTTGTAATCTCCTCTTCCACCTGGCATTTTACCAGAGGTAGAGGCAAGTACTTAGGTTGATGGCTTGCATGCCAAGTTATTGTATTTCTATGACTACTGTCTGGACATATGATCAAAAGTAGGAAATTGGAGAGAAATGGGATCTAGATTCACTCACAAACTGGACGAGCGGTTTGTTATTGATAAGACATTGATGGCAGAAAAATCTCATCAATTTTCAGAATGGCGTGTTTTCTGAATTCTCAATTGCTAAGAAGACCCCCCAGAATATATTTTCAAAAGGAAAAAGACCTTTAAAAAAGGGAAATTACTTTTTAAAAGGCCTCTATTCAAGACGAAGCATTATTTTGTGGTCTAGAAAAATGCATGCTTATTATCCTGGCTTTCAGAGAAGACATTGTACTTTATTCCTTATGTTCTTATTAAAATTTTCAGGTCCATCTCATGGTTTGGGGAATTTGTGATATACTAGTTCCTTTTTCCCAATGTAGTTAATAAATTTCTTAAAAATAACTATCCATTTCTTAAGTAACAAGTGAGATGGCTAATTCCCTGCTTATTATTGTATCTTTTGTGTATACAAGGCTAGCAGGAACTCCTAAGTAGGTATATCAGGATATGTATACAACCATGTTGGGACCAATAAAGCAGTGAAGGTACCATTGCTGAGAAAAAAAGACATGCTTCCCCCCACCAAAAAAAAAAATTAAGACAGAGTGATGACTGCAAAGAGAAGAGAGGATGAGGAGTGCAGGAAGTGGGGAAAGGGCAGTCATTTCAACCAGACAGGGGAAGCTGGAAGAATTTGGCTTGTAGGGGGCTTCCCCACCCACTGTTTCTTTCCTTTCATAATGGAGGGAGATGCCCCCACCGCTTTTAAAGATTCATGTTCCTACTGGAAACCTCTGTGTGTGGTGTTATTAGCCATGTTGTGTCTAAAAAGTCCAAAGCTTTCCCTGTCAGTGGCTTTCTCTGTTAAAAATTGTCTTTTTTCCTTCCCCTTCCCCATTTTTGCTTGCATTTTCTCTGGCAGGTCAATGAGGTAAGCAAGACCAACTTTAATCTCAGATACCAAGCTAACCCATCCATTGATATGACTAACCTCGTTCGCATCCGTCACCATGTCTGGGCATCCTGCTTTGTTGCTGTGTAATCTCATCTTCCTGACATCCATCTGCTGAGCCAGGCTCTGTCTTGCTGTTGGCATCTAGTCTTGAACCAAGAGTAGGCATGGAATGTTACCACAGGTCCAGTCCTTTGAGCTGTCCACACCAGATAACTTTTCTTCCCTAATGCACTGTTTCAAGAGAGCTGTTGGGAACGTTTTCCACTGGTGGGGGAAAAACGTGGGAGAATTAATTGCTCTTTTGTCTGCATGTCTCTGTTTTGCCAAGGCCTAAGCATTGGTTGCAGCCCCTGCCAGGCTGACAGTCTTGTATATTCAGTTACGCAGCTCCTTCAAGCAAGCTTTCGGAAAGAAGAAATCTCCAAAGTCGGCGTCCTCTCATTCAGATATTGAGGAAATGACGGATTCTTCTTTGCCTTCCTCACCAAAGTTACCGCACAACGGTTCCACGGGTTCCACTCCACTGCTGAGAAATTCTCACTCTAATTCTCTGTAAGTCTGTTGGGGTAACCCTGGTCAGATGACATCTTTGGTCCTGAAGAAGCCTCTCAAACAGGAATGATGAGGAGTCCTGTTATGATACATCTGCTTCTTGGAGACCCCTTATGTCTTGCTTTAATAGGACTACATGTATTCTTTCAGTGTTTCAGGGCTAGTGAGACTGGCCTTGGGCAATTTGCTTAACCTCACTTTGTTTCCGTTTCTTTTATATGTTAAATTGGGATAATGATAGTGTTCTCCTTATCCTAGCCTAAGGATTGAACAAGATAAATGGATGTAAAAGATCTAGAACCATCTCAGTGTGAGAGGGAGATGTGCTATGAGTGTTGGCAATTATTGCTGAAATTCTGGTTCACTAGGGTGACAAAACTTAGATTATACTTTTGTTCTTTGATCAAAATTTAGTGTCAACTATTTCTCTGAGGTCAGAACTCAGAAATTGAAAGTTCATGAAGAGATGCAGTGGCAATTCTCTTTACTGAAAGATTCTATATTCATAAAAGGATTCATCACCGTGAACTCCCCCTAGTAAATTTAAAATGGGTCAATTTGTACAATGTCTTCAGGAACACAGCTAGTTTTGTTGAGTGAGACACTCATTTACTCACTTGGCGTTGGTGTAGGTGCTGTTCCCCCTGGCTGCAGTTTACCTAGAGGAGAAGAGTCATGGTACTCTCGTCCCAGCCACTGTCCCGTGATTTCCACTCACCATCCATTGGTCATTCGTCTCTCAGGGGCATAGGCAGACAGTCCTGTGCCCCAGCGAAGAGCTTAAGGCCTAGACAGTAGAGGCAAGAGCAGGTCAGGAATGGCTTGGGATGGCCGAGTGGGGCCCAGGTGTCAGCTCAAAACGTGTCCCAAAAAGGCTGCCCCTGCCTTGCTCAGAGACGAGGCTCAGCTCTCGGGAGCATCAGAGGGTTCAATGGAGCCGAATTCCATTTGAGACCATGGTATTGAGGCCAAGAATGAGGGAAGAAGAACTAGAGAACAAGCAGTCTGCAAAGAATGTTATCAGCAAGATGAGACAGTGACTGAGAAAAGATGAGCCTTGTGGCTGTGGTCTGAATGGCCATAGAACTAGGGTTAGACAAGGGAGGTGGTTGGTTGTACAAACCTCAGTTTCCTCATCTGTAAAAACGGGGCTGATTATATCAACTTCACCAGATTTTTGTGAGCGCTGTTAGGTATTGTGTATTCAGGACCTCCATCTTCCCATTCCACTCTCCTTCAGTCTCAGAAGTCCAGGAGTGTGGAGCTGCCCCTAAGTCCACTTACCCAGCTTTCCAGCTGAAGATAGCAGCCTGCCCAAGTGTCCCAAGTGGCTTATCAGATGAATGCAGGAAGTTTAGGCAAGGAGATCAGCTTGTCCAGAGGCCAGGTCTTTGTTTGCACACCGACTGCATGGAAGACAGGAAGTGGAGAAGAGGAAACAGTACAGAAACCAAAAAAACTAAACCGGTAGATTCCAAATTCTGGTGACCCCACCTGTTTCAGAGTAAAACTGCACTCCGTAGGATTTTCAGTGGCTGTGACCTTTTGGAAGCAGATTGCCAGGACTTTCTTCCAGTGTACCTCTGGATGGATTCAAATTGCCAGTCTTTCAGTTAGTAGCCCAGCGTCCAATTGCTTGCCCCACCCAGGGACCCCAAAACGGAGGATAGGTAGTCCCTGACTTATGACAGGGTTCGGTTCCAACAACTCCGTAGTAAGTCGGTTCTGAAGTAAGTCAAATAACTCATTTCAAATTAACAACTGATGCGTCTTATGATACAAAACACTGAATAAGATCACACTATATGCCTGGTTTGCAATGAAGTTTGGGCGTGTGCACAGTTCAATTGTCATATGTTGTTAGTGTTGAACTTTGCCCAACTTCCTATCCATTATGACTCCCGATACCAACTTCATTGTAAATCAGGCCACAGTCTGCTTTACAGCAGTGTTTTGAACAGTAAATCATAAAATTAAACATCTGTGAGTGAACATCTGAGAATGATAACATCAGCAAATTATGTGCTGTAACATTATATACAGTGCATATTACTAACAATAAGATGTACCAAAAAAAAGTCATAAGTGCAGTTCGTGGTAACTTGAATATGTCGTAAGTTGGGGGTCTACCTGTATGGGGCCATGATTTTTACACAAGCCCACCCACTAGTGAAACATGCCCAGTCAGTGTCTCCATTTTACTTAGACTAGCAGTTCCTCTTCTCTTGGGGAGCACCCTGGGAATTGGTTGGTCACAGGGAAGTGTACTTCTATGTGGGCAAGGGTAAAAATCTGAGTGGGTGAGGGGAGAGGAGGACTGAACCCCAGTGTGTCCCTGAAGTGCCCAGCACGGTGCCATGAGTTTTCTTGAGTGAATGATGAGCGATTGAAAGTGTATGTCATATTTGATCTGCAGGGTGCCTGAGAAGTAAATAAAGAATAAGTTGGCTATGACTCTACCTAACATAACCCATTATCCCAAAGCATCTGAATCCAGTTGTTTCCTGACTGGAAAAAAAGAATTCATCATCTGTTCTTTGTTCATTGATTTAAACTTTTTACAGGCAGTCCCCGGGTTACATACATCTGACTTACAACTTGTACTTGCCCTTTAATGTTATGTCAGTTTGCCCTCACTTTGAATGATTGAACCAACCCCTACTCACAACAAATTCTTCATCACAATCACCTTCACTTGCTGCACGCTCAGCTTTTAAATCATTGAAAAGGCGTCGAGCCTTTTCTTGCACTAAAGTAAGGCTAAATAAGAACCATATGCACCTGTTCAACTTACCTACAAATTCGACTTAAAGACACAGCTAGGAACGGATCTCGTTTGAAACCCCGGGGACTGCCTATATATTGCAGCCTGTTTGAGCAGAGCACTGCTCTAGATGATCTGAAGAGAGACCAAAGGGGATGCTAACCAGAATCCCATGCCTGTTAAGATTAGGGATGACTGGGGACATGACACAGTATAGTTCATTCAACTTCTGAGCTTTGGCTGTATGTCAGGTACCGTTTTCAGCACTGGTTACAACAGTACACAAGATAGATCTAGGGTGGAGGACCCTACTTTCCAGGGCAGGAGACAGACAAACCCGTGAATAAACTAGGATATCAGATCGTGCTAAGGGTTAGTGCAGTGAGTTAAAATAGTGTGTTAGGATCCAGACTACGTTGGTAGCAACTTTAGACTGGGTAATCAGGGAGGTAACATTTCAACTGAGATCTGCAAGGCGAGAGGAGCAACTGTGTAATTCCGGTCAGTAACACAAGCTGCTGCAACAAACTCAGTCCCAAAGCCCAGTGGCTTAACATCCGACAGTTGATTTCAGGTTCACTCCAAACTCAGTGCAGAGATTCCTAGGGGACAGGAGGTCAGCCGTGTGGTGATGTGGGCACTGAGACTCCTTCCATCTTGTGTACCCAGCAATTCCTCTGCCAAGTGCCCTGTGTCCATCCAGCAGATGGGGAAGGGGAGGTGCAGAGGATTCTCAGGAGGGTTTTGTGGGCTGGACCTGCAAGAGGCACAAGGTACCTCCGTGGACCATGACTCAGGGCCATGCAATGGGCAAGGTAGCCAAGTAAGACAAGAGAGAAGGGTGCTGATGTGTTGCTCTGTAGGACTCCTAGAAACCAGAAGCAAGAACTTTCCTTCCAAACCGCTTCCCCCATAGGGATTGGGTGTGGTGGACTCTTGGCTTCCCAGCCCTTTTCTTACATTCCACAGCATCCACGGACATTGGAGATGTTTGTTTTTGGTCTCGTTTTTCAAAGGGTGGGCAGAGAGCACATACTTATTTCCAACCTTGAAAGGTTTGTAAAAATGTGCATATGTAGATGCGTGAGGGAGTTCAAAGAAGAAACCAAAGACAGAGAGGTCAGGGCTTAGAAAAGTCCCAACCCTGTGGCCAAAAGGAATGGCAGCCGTGGGAAGGCAGAAATCTCCCACACTCGAGGTGTTTAAAATTAGGTATGCCACCAGCCCTGCCTGGTGTCTGCCTGGACAGGACATCAGGATATGCTGGAATAAAGTGTTAGAGACCGACTAGGAAAAAATATACATCCAATTGTTTCAATAAGTGATCCATAAAGTAGACGAGCATTTATGGAGCATCTACTGGGTAGAGTAGGTACATGGGCCTTAGAGTTAGCAGACCTACCAGGTTTTTAAGATTGCAATTCATCATGACTTTTCTGATCTTCCACTTGGTGCGGATCTGAGTGGTGTTTGAAGAGCAAACCTAATTAAGCACATAAGGAGCCCAGCCTGGAAGGGCCTCTTCATAGAAGAAAGAGGAACAAAACAGCATCCCACAGTCAACCTTGAGCTGGTGTAAAGCTAGGAAAGAAAGACAACTAGCCATGGCCACACTATTGCGAAGTCCTGATAGAAAACTTTCAGCTTCCACGTCATCTTCTCTGGTCTGTAAATGTCCTAAGATGTTTCTCTCCCTTGCCGTGAGCTTGTTAAGCAGTTGAGGGGCTCTGGGGTAGGGGTAGGGGGCAAGCAGTTAAAGAAGACTGCTCACCCTAGTTGCTTTAAGGCAGTGGGTTTTAGTTAGGTCACAAGAAACACACTAGCTCCTTCCACCCATATCTTTAGAAGATTTCTTCTTCCCCTTTTTTTGGCAAATGAAAATCGCCCCTCAGCTGTCTGACCTTCCAGTTTCTAATCTGTAAAAAAGACAGTTGATCCTGCTTCTCTCAGTGGGTTTCGGACTCGGGTCATGTGGTGTCATTACAGGGGCCCAGCTGTAACACACTGGAGTTTGAAACCCTGAAGGTTACTACTCTCTTCTGCCATATCCTGTTTGTCCATAGATTATATAGACTTTTGCTGAAAGGCATGCCGAAGCCATTCTGCTTGTCGGAGCTCAGCAAAGAAAAGCGTAGAGAATCAATAAAATCTGTGAGTTTCAGGTGCTTTTGGTATTGCCACCTCCAGGAAACAGCAGGCAGCTGGTTACACATGGTTACTGCTGACCAAGCCTGATGATTGACATGACCCAGTGGTCAGTGGCGGGCTAGAAGGAGAGGGAGTCAGGGCTGCCCTTACCAGTAGCATTCCTCTTTCCCTAGCATTTCAGAGTGCATGGACAGTGAAGCCGAGACGGTCATGCAGCTCCGAAATGAGCTGAGAGACAAGGAGATGAAGCTCACAGACATCCGCCTGGAGGCCCTCAGCTCTGCCCACCAGCTCGACCAGCTCCGAGAAGCCATGAACAGGATGCAGGTGAGAGCCCAGGAGCATGGGCTGAGCCCAAGATCATCTGGAAAGGAGCTTCAGGAGGTTGCTCCCTGCCAAGCCTAAGGGTTACCTCGCAATCTCGTGGCAGCCCTTCTGTTCTGCCAGCTTCTTTCTCTCTTTCTCCTTTCATTCCCTCCCACACATTGCTCAAAGACCAGTCCTTTTTTTTTCTCTAAGTTTTAAAGTAGTAGTTAATGGATGTAGAAATATTCACAACATGTTTTTAAGTAAAAAATCAAGCAGGAAAAACAACAGCATGCACAGAATGATTCCAGGTTTGCACAGAAAACAGTGCTGAAAAGATAAACATATAGCAAAATATTAATAGGGTTTTCTGGATTCAAAGACGAATCTTTTGAAAGTCTGAGAGGTTTCAAACCCAGTGCCCTGCCTTGCATAAGACTCTCGATGAATCCTCCCCCAACCCCTCTGCCTTTTGCATGCAGTATGGTCTCCTTCACCTGGCTTTCAAGGCCTCCTACAGGTACCTTTTTACTCCTAATCCCTATCCCTCCCCTTCCAGGTTCTACTCACCAGCCATAGAGAGCCATGGATGGTTCCCTTCACAGACCACAGGAACCCCTTTTTCATAGTGTTCCCTCCACTTGGAATATCCTTTTGCAGATCCAAATTGGATCTTTCCCTCAAGAAGCCCAATGCTTCTTCCTTCCAGGTCTTTGAGCTGGAAAAGTTTGTGCTCTCATCTGAATTCCTATAGATTTGTTCTTAAAACCCCTCCCACCTTCTGCCATCAATGGAAGGTATTTGGGTCTTCTGAGTTATTCATCTTTGGATCCCTTTCTCTGAACTTAGCACCAGTGCCTCGCACGTAGTAGGTGCTTCATAAATATTCATCAAATGAAAGACCCCTGTGCCAGATGAAACCTCACTGGAGAGCAGCATTTCTCAAAGGAGGTTCCCTGGAGACTTCGAAAGGAGAGCTCTTTGGTCAAATCCGTTTGGGAAATGCTACACAGTATGTATGCCTCTCAGAGATACCAACACAGAGTAACTCATTAAAGCCTCTGAGAAGTCCTGCAGTAAAAAAAAAAAAAAAAAACAGTCAAAGCCAGAGTCTCCCAGACTTCTTAGATTGTAAGACTTTTTCATTTACACTCAGGCAACAGAGTTTGGGAAACACTGCTGAGGTCTTTTTAAAGGCCAGTTCTCTGAAAGAATGGACGCTCGCCTGCCAGACATGTCTTGTGTGTACAGCAAAGGCTGCAAACACTGCTGAGTCTCTCTGATGGTGTTTCTCATTCTGCTGTGGCTGTGATAGCCACTTGATCCCTTCAAGAAACTTTCAAGTCTTTCCTCCAGAAAAGGCTTGCTCATATTGCACCCACCTAGTAAGTGTCGTTCTCCCTTACTCTTTACAGAGTGAAATAGAGAAGCTGAAAGCAGAGAATGACCGACTGAAGTCAGAGTCTCAAGGCAGTGGCTGCAGCCGGGCCCCCTCCCAGGTGTCCATCTCTGCCTCCCCGCGGCAGTCCATGGGCCTCTCACAGCACAGCCTGAACCTCACTGAGTCAACCAGCTTGGGTGAGTGGGGCCACAGGGCTGGGGACAGGACTGGGCCTGCAGCTGGCACACTGGTCTCCAAACGAGAGCCCCAATCTAAGCAGATCAACAGATGAAATGGAGAGGCAGCAGGCGTGTGTGTACTTGGGGTTTGTGTATGTGTCTGGGTGTGTGTCTGCTATCAACATGAGCCTAGCCGTTAGACCGCTCTCATGCTTTGCTCCAGCGCCCCAGATTCTCCAAGCCTTGAGCTTGGATCCCCTCGCCCACCATGCTGAGTTCCGTTTGATCCATTTTAAAAGGCTGACCTGCAAGCTGAATGCTGCATACAAACCCCATAGTCTCAGGTCCCAGTTGGGGCCATGGCTTGGTCCATGACCTTCCAGCCTCAGGATGGATTCCAGGCTGGTGCAATAACCAGCAAACATGATCGAGGTTTTTTTTTGTAAGCGTATTGAGGCTGACGCTTTTATTTTTTCTCCATGATGCTGCTATCGCTGTTGTTTTGGTTGAGCCTCTCCCTCCTCGCACTTCCATTTGGCAAGGTGCATTGTCAGCCTTGGTTGGTCCACCATTAGTTTCTGTGGTTGCATTCTCCATGCTGCCCTCTCCCCCTCCCCTACACCCTCACCCCCTTTCCCTGCACCCCCGACACCTGGTTGTCCCGCTGCCGACAAGCAACGGGGGTATCAGGAAGCCAGCTTTGCTGTCCCCATGTGCCTAAGGCTGTTGATGTTTTCCATTCGCAGACATGTTGCTGGATGACACTGGTGAATGCTCGGCTCGGAAGGAAGGAGGCAGGCATGTTAAGATAGTTGTCAGCTTTCAGGAGGAAATGAAATGGAAGGAGGTTAGTTGGATCCCTTTCCCTGCTCTGCCTGCCCCTTCCCCAGGTAGAAATACCTAGTTTAGTGATTTAACTGTAAAACCGTATCACCTCAGATTTGGAAACACTACTAATGCTTTTCTTAATTAACCATAATCTCCAGGAGCATTTTGACACAATTAAAGTGAACAAGCGGCCCTTTCCCTTTCTCTCGTGTTTGGAAAGTCTAATAAAGAGTACTAAAAATGGTCCCATGTTGCACTTTTCACGTAATTAACTCGATACTAACATCAGTCAGAAATGGCTTTTCTGAATTTAATATATTCCCAGAGACATCAAAGGCAGCTAAGCACAGTTAGCACTGAAAGTACAGAAGTAAGCTGACCAAATCCAGCTGACCAAGAGCATCGGTTTTATCAGGCTGTTGGACTGCCGAAGAGGTAGACACAGAGATGGAGACAGCCAAGCCAGGGAGCACTCCTTTGGGTGTTTTGACTCACCAAGCCTGGGGAATCTGAGTTTTCTGAGTATTATTTCTGTTCTCCTCCAGAGTCTAGGAGACTATACCACCACTGGAGACTATTCTGGGGTGGGGTGGGGGGCTTGACAATGAAAGTTGATTTTTTAATCAGTGATTAAATCCAAATGATGCTGTGAATGACCATCTCTCAGAGAAAAGGGTAAAGGCCTCCCGAGTCACTATGTCAAATCCCCTGAGTTTTGTTAGTTATTTCTTAGTGTTTCTAGCCAACACACTGTTGTAGTTTCATACAGCTAGGGGATCCACCAAAAAATAGATCAGTTACTGAGGATTCCAACTCATGGCCACCCCATGTGTGTCAGAGTAGAACTGTGCTCTGTAGAGTTTTCAATGACTGTATCTTTGGATGTGGTTGCCAGGCCTTTCTTCCAAGACGTCTTTGAGTGAACTGAAACCACCAATTTTTTGGTTAGCAGCTGAGCATGTTAACCATTTGCACCACGCAGGGACTGCAGGGGGCCGACAAAACCATAAACCAAACCCATTGCCATTGAGTGGATTCCAACTCATAGTGACCCTATAGGACAGAGTGGAACTGACCCATAGGGTTTCCTAGGCTGTAATCTTTACAGAAGCAGGCTGCCACATCTTTCTCCCACAGTTCAAACCGCTGATCTTTTGGTTAACAGCCAAGCACTTGACCACTGCACCACCAGGATTCCTTAGGGGGCCCACAGTGCCCACCAAAACAAAATGTCTACAGTCAGACTTTTCTTTGCCGCAGGATTCCACTTCATGGCTGGCTCTTTAGTGTCAATGAAGGGACAGACCCAGAATTTTGGAGCTGCCAGGGGTTTTAGAATCATCTAGCCTAGAAGTCAAAATTCATTCTCATGGTTAGGACCATTGCTCAGGTAAATGCAGGTGATAACTTCTGATCACGTCTTATTCTCAAGATCATCAATGTGAACAGATAGATCTTAAATTCAACAGAATTTTGCAAGTCACTTTCAAAAACTATCATTCTGAATCACCACAGCATCCAGGTGAGGTTGACTGACCAGGCATTATCTCCATTTTGCAGTTGAGAAACCCAAGACCTGAGCGTTACTTGACCTACGAGGCAAGTGGTAGGGCCAGGTCATCAGACTGCAAGACTGTGCTCTTTTCTCTGCCGACTTTGCTTAACTGCCAGATGTCCCCCCTCACTCTCCTGACTCTATATCCTTATGAGCATGTTAGATAGTTAAAAACCCAACCGAATGGATTCTTCCATTAGTTTTGCTTTAATCAGTGTAATTAGTTACCTTCCACCATGCAGAGCCCTATAGGCAGAAATGCAAAAGAGGTAAAAAAAAAAAAAAGATTGTTTTTTGTGAACTTCTCAGAGTTTTACTAGTTTTCGGAATTGAATGTGTTTTTAACTTTTAATTTAAAAAAGGAATAAATGTTATTAAAGAAAAAGTAGAAACTTATCTGTCCGGAAGGAGTTTAAGATTCAGCAGGGAGATAAACTTGATACACAAATAAGACAGAAACACCTAAAAATACACATCAATGACTACAGACTATGTCATGGATAAGCTGTGTACAGAACTGTAGAAGTAATTGCGAGCTCTGAGCCTGGTGGGGTTAATCGTTGAAGGATTCCAGGAAGAGGTGAGTTTATAAGCAAAGCTTGGGAAGGGTGAGATGGCAGATAGGAGAGGAGAGCACATTCCAGGCCGAAGGAAGTGTGTGATCCACTCACTGAATCAGGTGCCCACTTAGTAGAATGTTCCAGATTCCAGAGAAGAGATCCTCTCTTCCTCTCCCACAGATTGCTGTTTTAGCCATTGGAAAGTCATATAGAGCAAGAGAAGGTTTTAAGGCTGTTGTAGTCAATCTAAGTTATACCTGGTGTTAAAACAAATAGGACTTTTATTCCCCTCTCAAACCACTGGCGGAATTCTAAGGCAATCTAAGTCCTCTGCTAAAAGGTGTCCAAAAAGATTCACCTGTTTTTCACCTGCATACATTTCCTTACCCTTAGGATTCCAGACCACATCTCTTTCTTATTGGATGCATTGGAGTTAGTGGCAAGACGAAGTGGGATGTACTCGATGGGGTGGTTAGACGGCTGTTCAAAGTAAGTATTTCAAGAAGATGGCTACAACATCATACCTGACATGGGGGCCTGGGCTTAGGAAGATAAAAGGCAGCTTGTGTCCTGAACTTGACCAGTTTTCAGACCCTGTCCCCTCTTCCACATCCTCCTGTTGCTGAAACTTGTCCCGTGGCCCTCAAGTGAACTGAAGGATGATGAGTCAGTACAGGCTGGTGATTGGCAAAACTCTTCCTCCCATCTGCCCTTGGTAGTGATTGGCCAGCTCATGAGTGTCATTTCCCGAGCCTAGGGCAATTATTTGAATTTTGCACGGTGAACTGCTAATGTCCAAATTCTTTTTGCCTTGGAATTGTGTCCTACTGAATATGCTTTGGACTATGTGATCTGTGACTGAGGCTAAGACATCAATTTCCATCCTTCATTTCTGGGCAGTTTGATCTGACTTGCTTCCTGTGTCAACATTTAAGGAGTCTCTGAATTGTGCTTCAAGTGACATTAGCATTTGATCAGTGACCAGTGTCAAGGATGTTGTCATACTTATTTGTCTGTTCTCTCTAATCAAACCATTGGGTTGGGTGTTGCCACAGGAGAAACAAGGATGGAGGTGAACCTTGAAACATACGGTGATTTTGAAAGACGTTTTTGGTACAATTTTCATAGTGTCCCGAAGTAAGTCCATAAACACAGCAGTGCATTAATCCTATCTCCTGAGTAATAATAACCCACATTTACTATCCCAGAAACCCTGTGAAGCCCTTTACTTACATTATCCCAGTTCATCTTATTATTTTCCCATTTGAAGGTGAGGAAAGTTGAGGCTCAGACCGGGTCCCTTGCCTAAGGTCATGGATCTAAAACTAGATCACGCAGTTCTAGCTGAATGGGTCCGACTTCAAAACCTGACATAACTAGTACACTGTAGTCTCTTTCTAGCACCCAGATCCAAGTGGCTTCACACAGAGAAAGTTCTACTCTTTGGTGGGTCAGTCTGTAGAAATGTGACCAGGCAAGAGACGTGAGTGGCTTAGGGCGGGCCAATTCTACTGCCTGACCTAAAACGTTATCTCTGCTGACAATCAGCTGGGACATCCTTGGATTAAAAAGACAACAGTTTGATCTGAAAACAGCTTCTGGGGCATCATGGTAAATGAGAAAACAAGACTATTAAAAGCAGAGCCTATTATTGGCCTCCACCTTCTCATTGTGTGGCCACGCAATAGCCTGTGGGTCTTAGTTCTAAGTTCAGTGACATAAAACTTCTTGGTCACCCACTTAAGAGGGAGCACTTTCAAAATTAAAAACATATTTTCCTTTTTAAATATCCAGGGCTGCTTTTCTCTAATTGCCCTGAGTTTTACTCTGTCGTCGGTGTGATTTTTGCCTTGAGCCAGAAGAAAGGCCTGGTGGAGAGATTTCTTGTCAGAATTACATTTTCCTGAGTTTTCCAGCACCATTCACAGGCCTTGATGTCTTCAAGATACCAGCTGAACTTAGGAAACGCAGCCTAACTTTTCCGTGCTTGGTTCATCCAGACTAAACGTTCACAACCCTGTTAGGTTTTTTTCCATCACTAACCAAATAAATCTGTGTTTTAAGAGGCCCACGATACTAGGGCATTATCCCCATAGAAAGTCAGCTCTTCTCCCCCTCATTCCACAGCTTGATTTCAACTCAGACATCATCCCAGAGAGAAGAGATGACAGTCATAAATCACCCAATGAAAACATGAGTCACGGGCAAACTCGAGCCACATCTTTGATAAGGTCTTTACTTTTTTTAGGAATACATCATTCACGTTGACCCAGTGAGTCAGCTGGGCCTGAATTCCGACAGTGTTCTCGGCTATAGCATTGGGGAAATCAAGCGCACCAACACTTCCGAAACACCCGAGCTGCTTCCCTGTGGCTATCTGGTTGGGGAGAACACCACCATCTCTGTGACTGTCAAAGGTAATGTGGCTGATTGCAGACGTCGGAGCTTTCAGGAATTGCAGTTTTTGTTTTGTGACTTGGCATAGGAAATTGTGGCCACAGTTTTGTTTGTGCATATTTATATGGGCTTTCTTCCCCCTGCTTCACCGACAGTTCCTCTTACCTAAGAAAGTTGAACAGTTTGAGTTTTCAACCACCATCGGAGCAAATAATTTTAGTTTACTGCTGAAATTATATAACAGAAAATCCCATTACCCGTAGGACTCCAAGATGATGGACTCTTAATAACCCTGTTGAAATGGGGCTTTCTGCTCTCTGAATAGTTTACCAATAGCAATTAATTACTCTTGCCAGCAGCCCTTGGACATAATTCCATGCTACAGATGGGGAAAGCATGATTTGCCATAGGCTACAGAAGAGTCACTCTGAGTACCCTGATGAAACCGCTGAGGTTCTTCCCATGTATGATGCTGCTGGAGCTTCCTATTGCCTCACCTCCCAGAGATGTTAAGACCCACACCAAAGTGCATTCCATGGAACTCTAGTCCCATCAAGTACTCTATGAAAAAGAAAGGTCTCATGGCCAAATATGTTTGGGGAACTATATCATTATCCCCGTTTGGGATTAGGGGCAGAGAAGGCAGGAATGCATTGGTACATGAAAGGCTCTGACAGATCATGCTGTTAAAAAGGTTTTGTCCAGTTAGTTTAACATTTATTTGACTACAAAATCCCTTTTTTCCTGTATTTTATGTACCACCTGAGGAATATACTTTGATAAAATTGTACTGGGCTCAACCTTCTGATTGTCCCGTGTCTTTGCCCACTTATTTCCTTGTAAGACGCCGATCTTGACTGTGGTTTTTGAGAGCGCAATTTTCGAGTTGTTTGAGCTCAGTACCAGGAAAGTCTTAGGCCTGTCTCCTGCAAATAAATCATTTGGGGACCTTCATCATGGTCTTTCTGGAACAAACAGACACTTCATTTAGGGGCTACTCTTGGTTGGGTCAGAAACAAGCATTTAAACACATTAGGTGGGGGGTCTGCTTGCAGTGAGTAATTATGTGGAAAGAAGATACTATTATAAAACAGAATAGATAGACTTCAGTTTAATTTTCACTTACAAATTCTGTTTCTCTTGAAGTAAGTTTTAACAGAATTACTTTAGATTCTGGACAGCTAATCATGGATGGAGCTTCTCTTGGGGATGATATCAAGAAGATAGCTTTTGTAAAAGCCAACAAGCCTGATTAATGAAGCTGTCCCACATGGGAAGAGGGGGAAGATAAATTTCCGTTTGGTATTTGAGGATCAGTGATCTCAATATGTAGCATCTCAACCTAGGGCCAGTATATGTATCACAAAATCAAATGATCCTACCTTGCTTTTCCCTTTATTTTAAAGATGAAAGCATTATCTTCGTGATACATCTGAGTGTGGGTAGCGCTGTTATGCAGGAGAGAGCTGGGTGAAGAGGTAACTTGAGGGTCCTGGCTGACACGCTCAGGCAAGACTCAGGCTTGGTTTGGGCAAACAGCCTTGGTTCAGTATAGTGAACCCAGACAGGCAAGCAGAGCCCATATCTTGGTGATACTGCAGAGGACAGCTGAGAATGGAGGGCCCCAATGTTAGAGGTGAGTCTGAATCTGGGGAGGCCCGCCATGGCTGGAACCAGAAGCACACAGTGCTGAAGAATAGGGATGCGGCTTCCTGGAATAATGGCGGTTTGTTCTCAACCTCCTGGATACCTGGGTGTTCAGGGGTCTCAGGTGAGTGGGATACCAAAAAAAGGGATAGCATCAGGTCTTGGCAGTTCCCATTAGACAACTGCAGAGAGCTGCCCTTTCTACAGAGCTGCCCTTTGTCCCTCAAATGCAGGGCTCACGGAAAACAGCCTGGACTCTCTGGTGTTCGAGTCCCTGATCCCCAAGCCCATCCTGCAGCGCTACGTCTCCCTGCTGATAGAGCACCGGCGGATCATTCTGTCAGGCCCCAGTGGCACCGGGAAGACGTACCTGGCCAACCGGCTGTCGGAGTACATGGTGCTTCGAGAGGGACGGGAGCTGACAGATGGGGTCATCGCCACCTTCAACGTGGACCATAAGTCCAGCAAGGTGAGGGGCTCATCCAGAGTCAGCTGCTCAGCCTGGCCTCACTTTTCCACCCTTATAGAACTGTTGCCCCCTCTGCTACGCTGGTGGGAAAGCAACATTTCCTATACGCTCTCATTTGGTGGTTATTCAAAACCAGGTGAAGGAGGACAGAACGGGGCTGGCAGAAAGCTTTGACTCAGATCCTCCCAGCAAGCAGTTCCGTATGGGGTTAGGGGGATCTAGTTCATTTATTGCTCCCTCACTATGAGCCAGGCATGATGCTCAGTGCTAGCAGTATTTTTTTTAAATCACCCCACATATGTCCATTCCACTTTACCAGGAATTTATTGTGTGCCTACTACTTTACATTGTTTTTTTGCAAAATAAAGCCTTCTTTTGTGCTAACAAGAACAATAGCAGTAGCTCCCATTTGCTGACTCCCTGCCTGTTACTAGCAAACTGGCTTCTCACCGCCATGCCTTCAAGGGAGTAGCTGTTTTCTCCCCATTTTACAGAGGAGCAAACGGAGGCTTAAAGCAGATTGGTCATGTGCCTGAGGCCACTCAGATGGTAGTAAGCAGGGGAACTGGAACTCAAGCCTAAGCCTTGGACTCTAGCACCAAAATAGGCTGGATCCTGTTTCCCCGTGAGCAGTGGAAACCTGTTTGGGTGGAGTCAGACCTAGTCCCATCTGAGGGTTGTGAAATGTTTTCTCAAATCTATTCATTCCTTCATCCCATGGGGCTTTATGGATAATTCATTCTGTGGCTGGCCCTGTGTAAAGGGGCCAGAGAGCCAAAGACTGATTGGAAATTATTCAACCGCCTTAGAATCACCTCGGCTAATTGAAAACACTGATTCCTAGGCTTTATGCCTAGATGACCTGTTTCAGTGGGTTGTGTGAGGCCAGGAATCTGTACCATTAACAAGTTCTCCAAGTAATTTTTTTTTAACTTGTTTGGACATTTTTTTTTACTATTGTGGTGAAAATATACATACTAACAACTTCCACATTTACAGTTCAATGGCTGATTACATTTTTTATGTTGTGTCACCATTATCACTATCCTTTTCCAAAACATTCCACTATTAACATGAACTCAGTGCCCCCCAAACAAAAACTCCCTCTTTCTCCCTCCTCCCTACCCTGGTAACTATTAATAATCTTGGTTTCTATATATTTGCTTGTTTCATGTAAGTGAGATCCTACAGTATTTGTCCTTTTGTGACCGACTTAATTTGCTCAGGGTAATGTTTTCAAGGTTCATCCATGTTGTGGCATGCATCAGAACTTCATTTCTCTTTACAGCTACAGAATATTCCATTGTATGTATATACCCATTTTGATTATCCATTCATCTGTTGATGGACATTTCAGTTGTTTCTACCTTTTGGCCATTGTGAAAAGTGCTACAATCAACATTGGTATCCAGGCCCCAGATGATTTTGATGTGGGGGCAGAACGAGGGAGAAATGATCAAAGCCCCTATATCAAGAGCCTTTTTGTGGGTTCCTGCATTTGATTACCTCCAGGCCTTTGATCAAGCCGATGCCCTACCCATTCTTCAAGGTCAAATTCAAAGCCAACTTTCAACAAGACCTTCCAAGGTCCCCTGCGCATGTAGATTCATCTTGCCCTCCACCGTTCTTTGTCTGTCTACCACGGCACTAATCATCATTACTTGTGTGTGGATCGGGGTCCCCTATTTTGATGTATTTATCAAGGGCTTCTGTGTATACAACTGTCTAGCAGGTACTATGGAAATACAAAGATACGTGAGGCACCTGCCCTCAAGGAGCTGACTGGGAGGCTGGCATGATAAGAAATGTGAGCAAATGTGGTAACATTTCTAGAGATTTGGTAGAACAGGGATAAAATTCCATGCCTCTGTGACTCTATGGTATTATACTCTTGCCCTGGGCTGAGGGTTTTCTGTTACTTATCCCATGGTCACTCTGCATCCCCCTCACCACCAAGCCGGTGCCCTGTAACAGGCAGGCACTTAGTATGTGTTCACAGCATGGGATGGTGTCATGACGGGTCTTTCGTCCTGGGCAAAGTGAAGGCTCTGAGCATCTGCATCTTCGTTGGGGTGCATTCATCAACTTTTTCTTCCCCTGGCCTTCCGGGCTTCCGTAGGAATTGCGCCAGTACCTGTCCAACCTTGCTGATCAGTGCAACAGTGAGAACAACGCTGTGGACATGCCTCTTGTTATCATCCTGGACAACCTGCATCACGTCAGCTCCCTGGGCGAGATCTTCAATGGGCTGCTCAACTGCAAGTACCATAAATGGTAAAGGCCACTTCCAAACCTCATGGCCCCTGGGACGGTGTGTTACCACCTTAACATGCACTGTGTGGGGAGCTGTGCACACGTGTGGCTGGGCTGGCATGGTGGTGAAGCAGTGTGTGGGGAGCGCAGGGAAGGCAGCCAGCCATCTGTCTGCCTAGACGTGTAGACGTCACAGGCCTCTGTGAGCGCCTTGCTCGCCAGCTTGGCTTTGAGTCACAAACCTTTCTTTTCCTTCATTTCCCCCCTCAGCCCTTACATAATTGGTACAATGAACCAGGCTACCTCTTCTACTCCCAATCTGCAGCTTCATCATAACTTCAGGTAATGTATCACTTCTCTTTTCCAATTAGATGATGGAATCTAGAGCTAGAAAGAGTGGAGAAGCCTTTTTCGAGTAGCTTTAATATCCTGGGTATCGTGTTAAGCATTTTCCCCAGCTTAACTCATTTCATTCTCACAACAGCCTCAAGTAGTTAAATTTATTTTTCTCTGTATGCATATGAGGAAACAGGCTCCAAGAATTAAGTGATTTGTCTGAGGTCATACAACCGGTCAGTGGCAGAGCTGAAACTTGAAGCCAGGTCTCTTAGACTCTTAAGTCTTGCTATAGCAATTTCAAGGAGGCAGCTCTGGGCAGGGGCTGGAGGCACCCTTGCAGCATCTTATCAGTAGCACGTCTCTCTGTTCCAAGTGAACATGAGCAGTACAGCTCATGCTTGAGAATGTCCCCCATGTTGCTGAGCCTGTGGGCCTTCAGAGCTCCAGCTGCTGTGACTCCACTTGATGAGTTTGTCTTCCCCTTGTCTTAGTTTTATCTAGTGCTGTTATAACAGAAATACCACAGGTGGGTGGCTTTAATGAAGAGAAATGTATTTTCTCACAGTTTAGGAGGTTAGAAGCCTGAATTCAGGGTGCCAACTTTAGGGGAAGGCTCTCCCTCCCACCA